TATTGCAGTAGTTATAGTGCTTGGGACTACACATTTAACCCTGAAATACAATCACAAGGAGTAATTTACACCCACCCACCCTGTTTCCACAACATGACCTAAATGTCGGTTTTTCAATTTACTGTACATTGAATACATCCCATAAAATCTCATTCTCATTAGATGTAAATACAATTAAATCATTTATGCTTGTGAATGTTAGCATCGTGTATGTATTTAGCACATTGCTAATCATGGGGAGCCATCTGTGGTACCACCAGAGAATACAACACTAACCAGTAGCATCAATGTGCCAAGTCTTAGGTCAGGGATAGGCAACCTTCAGCACTCCAGATGTTGTGGACTACATCCCCCATAATGCTGACATAGCATCATGGGAGGTGTAGTCCAAAACATCTGGAGTGCCGAAGGTTGCCTATGCCTGTCCTAGGTACTAGAAGCTTTGATCATCTTTCTTGTTGATTCCCAACTTCTTGTTGTAGCCACTAAATTTCAAAGCGACATTCTACAGAAGGTATCTGTATTTTAATATTTAATAGCAGCACTTACTGAAAATTCATATGGAGTGGACTCTCTATCCCAGCAACCTATAACACGTCCGAGAATTTATACATTTCTCATTTCTTTGAGAAAATGTTTATTTTATTATACACTGGACAAACCATTCACACCAAACATCTCGTTTCTATTTTGTTTACACGTTTGCCGTGAATTTTACTAAAGTGGAAATTGTTAGTAATCTAAAGTAATTTTTAAATTAATTCCAAAACTAAGAGAATCTTCTTGATGCGTAGTTTGACATTCTACACTCTGTACCAACTTTGTATTTTCCTTTTTTGCCATAGTGAGTATCCTTGTATTTAAGATGAAAGAACTTTGTTAGTGTAGGTGTGAGCACAGTAAAAGAATACAAAACTAAATGCATACTACGAAATAGTTTTTATTTACACAATTACATAATTTTTCCATGCACATTCCAAGGGCCGAACCCACAAATTATATTAATAAAGGTAGAATACTTTATAGCAGCTCATCCAATAACAATGTCATTTTGTTATTTTTTTCGTATTTTGTATACAACTAAGGCTGTTCTTTGTCCGTTCATGGAAGACATTGAGTTATTTTTGCAATATATAATCAAAGATTATAAAATCATATATAGGATACATTCAGTTCTTGGTTACAGATACACTGTGAATAGATCTTTGCTATTTAAGTCATGAAAAACACGTTTGCGTTGATAATGTATTTTTAAAAAATGCACCCCCACCAAAAAAAATAAAAAAATAACCCAGCATGGATTTCCAAAGGCAAAGTAAGATTCAACAAAACAATATAATAGACAATAGTAAGAAGTCAGAATGTGACATATAGGAGAAACAGTCTAAACATGTTCAGTATGATGTGATCAAGGAGCCAATCTGCCCAGGTAGCATCTTCTTGAGAGATCAAATGCTAAAATTTCAGTAAAGGTTCAGCGTACTAAAGTATGGAAGCATGCAACCTTTACACTGGTAGACATTTATTACAACAAAATGTTGCCTAGCTTTGCTTAGTAGGATGGCTAGTGTTTATTAAAACAAAAATAAATATAAAAGATGATGTGTAGGGGGAGGAAAGAATTATTTTATTTTTGTTTATAGCACTAAAATGATACAATAATTAAGGATATTGATATTTGATATATTATTCACACCAAGAAATACCCCTTTACAGTTAATAGTAATCTCCTTAGATTGTAAACTCACATGAAGGGCAGTCTATCTTTAGTATTGGTCCTTTTATAGTGTAATGTCTTTTTACCACTTGTACATAACTGCGGAATATGTTGGAGCTTTATAAATGCCAGTAATAAATGAATACATAAAATTATTATGGAAAGAGCTAGTACCATAGGAATATGCAACCTTTGGCACTCTAAATGTTATTGACTACATCTCCCCTTATGTTTTGCCAGCATTGTAGCTGTTAGAGCATTAAGGGAGATGTATTCTACAAAAGTGCCAAAGTTTGCCACCCCTGGTTTATTTCATTAGTCCACTATTGGACAAATATTTCAGACACCACTGGATATGCATTGGTTGCGTGATGACGATAGGAGTTGAAGCTCCATCAATTAAAGGGTCTCAAATGCCCAAGCCAGCTCTAGCATCAGTCAGTGGGCTAAGTAGCTCAAGGGGTTATTAGTGATTAAGACTGCATTGTATTGAATAAGGAACAGCTCTACACCCATTGGCACTTAGAAAATTAATTATAAAAGAAGATAGTGTGTCAAATTTAATTTAAAATAAACAATTACATTGCAAAAAGGTTTTCTACTAATGTTTAAAGCACAAAATTCTTCATTTTGAATCCTAGGTAAATATTAGATCCTACAATGATTCAATATATTAATGAACGAGAGAGAGAGAGAATAAAAAACATTACGGTTTAATCAAATATTTGATTGCATATTGGTGGTTTTAGCCAATACAAAGGTATCTTTGCCATACCTATCCTTTGCTATGTCAGCATCTCCAAATACTGGTTTTCCAGTTGTTAAGTAGATCTACATTCTACGGATCTTTGCCACCAAAAAATCCACACACACACCGTGTCAATTTTGAAATTTGGCTCTACTGTCCAAAATGTGGATTTACTATCACAGAAACAGCTTCACAAATGACAGACAAGCTTAGATGCTTGGCCAGATATATGTCCCTGCATGAGGTGGTTTAAAAATGTTCTCAACTCATTCATGTGAACATTTTCTTATATTACCACCTACATCAACACTGTGCATGTTTTATCTAAGTAGACAAAATATAATCTAAACTATCTAAACTAGTGAAAGGCCATTTTACAAGAAACCAATAATATTATTTACAACTGGTGCTTGAGTGGTAGACTTTTGCTGGTGAGGCTCTTTACAGGGGAACTCCAGTAGAACGTACAGAGACCTTTTTGGGCAGGATAGTGGTTTATATGTCTAATCCTATAATCAGAATGGTTTCCTCTTCCTTGGTTATCAGACTGGGGTCAATAGTCAAGGTTATTCTGATACCTCTATTGCAGACCTTTTATCCATGTCAATGTGTTATAAACCAATTCATCCTACCACTACCCTCAAGTATATCCATGCACTATTAGTGAGGACTCTTTGATGACAAAGTGTTTTTTGGGGATGCACAAGAGCCAAGCCTGTATGTCTTCTAGATAACTCTGTCAACTTTTTAATCCATATGTGTTTTTGTATGCTCGGAACACTATCCACCTGTGGCCTACACAAACTTTCATTTTTTAAAATATGTTTTAGAGTTTTGTGTATCTGATCATGCATTCATATGCTGAATTAAGTATAATCCATCCAGTTATAACGATGTATGTTCTAGTCCATATTTTCCGTCTCTGTCAGTCCTACAAATAGTCATTGGACGTTTAAATTAGAATGAAATCACCGGAGTGTGCACACAATTTAGCGGAAACAGATAGGTGTTATAGGTGGGATGTAGTTATAGTCGTATATAAAGTGAGCTCAGACTACATAATTTTTTTATCTCTATTGTTAAATGGCAATAAACAGCAATTCCTAGATAAATTAGCCAGAAAGAGGTGTCCTGCTTGCCCTGTTCATCGGTACAGGGTATGTCCGTATATCTTTAGGAAGGGCAGCTCTTTTTATGGTTTTTAGCTTATTACCTGGAATGTGTTGTGTAAAGACAACCAAGGTCTAGTGACATATTTTCTTATAGCTAGTATTGACTGGGTGCCCTAGTTAGTCTATTTGGTATTTCTTATAAAGGTGATATATAAGGGTCTATGTCCTGAGCCCTTTCCTGGAAGCTTAGAATCCCAGTTATGGACTGGGGATTCTGGTTAAGGCATGGATTGTGCAAAGCTCCAGTTAACGTGAGTAATCTTAGCTCAGGATATCAGGTGCTGTGTATTTTTTCTAGATTAAACTGCTAGCAATTTGGAGAACAATAGTTCATTGTAAAATCACAAATTATCCAATAAACATATATAGCTATGGCTTATTGCTACTCTACAGAGTACAGTGGAGGTGTGTATTACAATGCACTTTGATCAATGTCAATAAAGATATTTTTTTTGTTTTGTTTTTTTATTCTTTCTTGGAAAAGTTCATCCACAAAATAAATGTCAACAAAAAAAAAATGTTAAAAAAAACAAATCTTCGATTTTTATTAAATCTTAGTAATAATAACCTGAAACCTTTATTTATTGACCCAAATTAAAATAATCTAATCAAATGCATGAACAGAAAATTCAAAATTAAAATGCTAAAATTAGGGTCAAATTTCCCTTTTCTTAAATCTTAACTATTTTTAAATTATTATTAAAGTGACCAGCACATTAAGTTCTCCCATTTGAATCCCACACCATTATCTCATTAAGGAACAATGACATCTCAAGCATATCACAATATAATAATCCATGATGTTGGTCTAAGTCATATAAAAACATAATGCAACATAATTAAAAATATATATAGGTCCCCAGAAAACTATATGGCCCGAGGCCTATTATAGACTGTTCTGTCTTACGAGTCAAATTGGGACTTTGACCCACTTACATTCTATGAGTACCTAATTGCCATTGGCCTGGATAATATTATATAGATATATATTTATTTTTAACAAATACAAGACCAAGACATATTTTAAATGATCTGGATCTCTGGGTCACATGGTCGATTCATGGCAGAGTAATACCTTTTTTGAAGCCCTAATGTTAATTTTAAAAAATAATAAAAAGTACCATTTAGTTGGGTAATAGCACAGGACATACATGGAAACAAGAGCAAGCTAAATGTATCCTTCCAGGTTAAATAATCTGATAATATACTGACTGGAATATATTGACTAAAACCCAATAGTATTAAACCAGGCTTCATTAAAAACTAGGAATTAAGATTTTCTTTTAATAACTAAAGATGACCTTATATACATTTATTAAAGTACATTTCTAAACAGTGTTTGGTACAGATGGTGTGGGGTAAGTCACCACAGTATCGGACAGTCCATTTTAGCAAATCCTGGATCTTTTCGCAACTGCCAGTAAGTGCCATTTGATACCCACGATTCATCACTGGACTTACTGTGGAGTAAAGGAATGCTTTGTCAGTGATAAATATCAGTTTTTATTTTACAGGGAAAAAATAGACAAAGCTTGTTAAACAATGGATAGAGAATACACATAATCTTATTGCATTGCATTGCAAGAGGTATGAGTCAACAGGTCATGTTTGACGAACATGCCTGGCCACAGGGAAGTTATCATAATAATTACACTAACTTATTAATCAACATTCAAGAAAGGCTATTCATTGGTAGAGAAGAACTGGCATCTCAATGGGAAAATTCAAAATGTAGAAAGAGATTATGTTTAAACAATTGTACCACTTTAAAATGGAACTGTGCTTCCCAGGATTTTAATATTCTTAATTATCCACTATATTTTGCAAATATGTAATATTGAGGCTATAAACCGTGCTTTATCTCATCTTCCCATCAATCATTGTTATAAATGTTGCCATTTCCTGCCATTGAACGTACGTTTTTGTTTTCCTCCTCATTTGCATTGTGTGCCTTGGTTGTGCCTTATCTGAACTGCATTGTGATGTAACTTGCTAAATATATATTTAAAAGAAAAACAAACAATCATATGGAAAAGGGTTAACACAAGTTCTAAGTGGTTTTTAATGTATTATTCAGAGGTGTAATTTCTAGAGAAGTGACACTTCCTATTTAAAGTATACTGATGATACATTCTTGAAAGCATTCGATTCTGTGATAAATTATGGATTACACCCCACCTGAAAAAACGTGGCTGATGCTCCATGCCATTATCTTCCAGAACTCTTCTCCTTTCTCTCTGCAGCTGCTCAATCCTTTGTTTTTGCAACTCTGCTCCTTCAACATTTCCTTCTTCCAGGTATCTGTAAAAACATAATTGTGTTTATAACATGAAGTCCAGTTAAAAGAGTTTGTTGAAACAGTCATCATGGGGCTGAAGTACACAGAAACACATTTATCAGGGTTGTTTTGTACAATGTAGATATGCGAGTTTATGCACAATATTTTGACACTTTACTGTTAAAAAGACACTCTAGATTGGGTTAATTCTCTATATTTTAGTGAGATAATGGATAGAGAATATATATTTTTTTGCTAATCGTAATTTTATTAAGGCTCAGGTTAGAGCAATAAGTATACACATATGAAATCATCATTGGTTTACTCGTCAAGTTATACAAAGACAATTGAAGAGGTAAACAGAATGGCTTCAAAATATCAAAACAGTGGTGAAGCATATTTAGGCAGATTTCGCTGCACGGCCTGAGTCTAAATTTGTGAACTTGGTAAGGGAGGGATAGGAAAGTCAAGAGGGGGAAGGGAATTTACGAAATTTGCATTCCTATATTCACCTCCCCAGATGACCAATTGTTTATGCATAATAGGTGTCGTAAGTGTGCCATGTTGGGGGGTTGATTGGGGTGCAAAATCACAGTTTAGTGAATCTATGCATTCCATTAGGGTACCATGAAGTACAACTATTTGTGCTATTGCAGTTGTGTGGGGTTTATAATAGTATACCATTCGTTCATGCATTAATGGGCATAGCTGTCGGACAGAAGTTTGCGTGGTATTGTGCATGGCTCCACATATCCCAGCAAAATCGTTCCACTTTCCCCAGGCTGTCTCCCAGTAATTGCTATAATTTGAGTGTTTTTGTGTGTTTTGTTTTCTGATAGCTAATTCATACAAACTTGCTTGATTAATTAGTTGTATGCACATCTGTATTGTAGGGATCATTTGTGTGGACCAGTTTCACGCAATAGAGGAGAGGGACACGTTAATAATATGGAATATTAAATATTGCTCTGTTTTCGGTATTGTATTTGGGAAATTTAAGAGTACAAACTTTTCTAGTAGGGGAGGTAGATGTATGTCTGTGCTTGATGAGCTTGGCACTATTTCACCAGAAGCTAGTGAGCTCTGGGCAGCTCCACCATATATGTGACATGTTTCCAAGTCCTGGCATGCATCTCCCACACTGGTTGGATTTGGTTGGGCCGATGCAATGTAGGGGGGTTGGAGTTAAATAATACCGGTAGGTGAGTTTGGTTGCCAAATCGATATGTTTGGAGCATAGGGTTAAGCTTTTGGAGTTTATAATCATTTGTTCTCATGCTTGCTCAAGGTTTGATTCATTTAATTCAGGTTCCCATGCATTAATAAAGCAGTAGTCTTTCAGTTTGGTTTTCTGGGGCAGAGCTGCGTATATTGAGGAGATAAGCTTTTTTTGGGGTGGGGGGAGTTGAGACCTACATACACACTCTCAAAGTCCGTCAGCTTCTGACCATTTACAAAAGTATGCTGAGAGAGATTGTTTTTGAGTCAGAAACACAGCTGTAAGTACGAGTAGTGTGCTATGGTTGGCATTGTGTGGTTTTGTTGTAGTATTGCAAATGACATAAGGGTGTGATCTATGTACAATTGGTGTAGAAAATTAAATCCATGCCATTCCCAAATTCCCAAGAGGCATAGCGAGGGATATAGGAGAATAGCTAGTCAGTCATCAGGATAGTGTTAAGGTCGTGGATGGCAGACAGTCAGAGGTGTGTGGTCTTGTTGCTAAGTGGGATACATGCAATAAAATCTCTTTATTGCCTTCCCATCCCGATTCTATCGGCTTCCAGTGTGGTTCCTTTGTAGCAGTTAGTGCCTTTAGTATGCTGCTTGGTATTGCTGCACGATTGTAGCATTTAAAATTGGGGAGGCTCATCCCACCCAGACTGGATGCTGAATAGTTTTCATCGCTATGCACGATCGTTTACCATTCCACACAAACCTCGAAACCCAGTGTTGTATTTGTGCTGAAGTAAGTGTGGGGTATGTGTATTGGTAAAGAGCGAGACAGGTATTTTAATTTATGAAGTACAATCATTTTTGTGGCTGCTGTTCGCACCATCCAGGAAAGGAATAAGGGTCTCCATTCCTGCAGCTGCTGTTTAAGTTTTGCAAATAGTTTAGCATAATTGGCTTGAAATAATTTGGCCTGAACCTTTGTGAATGCTACGCCCAGGAAGGTTATGTGGTCCATATGCCAGTCATAATTATATAGTCTTTTCAGAAGCTGCAACGTTTCTGTTGGGACTCCCTTACCTAAAGTACGACTATAGTGCCAGGAAAATAAACGAGTTTTCCTGGCACTATAGGGTCTTTGGGTCCCTCCCGCCGGGCTCAAGAGGCGTTAAGGGGTTAAACAATTACCTTTCTACAGCACCGGGGAAATCACCTCTCTCTTCCGACGTCAGCGCTGAATGCGCATGCGCGGCAAGAGCCGCGCACGCATTCAATCAGTCAATAGGAAAGCATTTCTCAATGCTTTCCTATAAACGGCAGCGTCTTCAATGAGAAAGCCACTAGAGGCTGGATTAACCCTAATGTAAACATAGCAGTTTCTGCTATGTTTACAGCTGCAGGGTTAACCCTATATGGGCCTATGGTGGTCCTTTAATGCTTATGTCTTTGAGAAGTTCAATATGTAATAAGAACATTTACTATATGCCACTAGGATAAAATGAAAGTGTGGTAATGAAGTTTCTGGATCACTTAACATTAAAGGAACACTATAGGCTCAGGAACACAAACATATTTTCCTGACCCTATAGTGTTAAAACCACAATTTATCCCCTCTGGCAAACCCTTGCCCCCCCTAAATATAGTAAAATATTACTTGTATTCAAGTCTGCAGCTGCTGCCTCTGATCTGCCTGCTTGGCTGACATCATCAGATGTGACTCTCTGAGCCAATCACAATGCCTTCCCACAGGATTAGCTGAGACTGTCAAGGAGGCCGATCAAGGGCAGAGCCAGCACAAGCCAAACACAGCCCTGGTCAGTCAGCATCTCCTCACAGAGATCCATCGAATCAATGCATCTCTATGAGGAAAGTTCAGTGTCTCCAGACGGTTTAGAGTTATCTCTGCTGGATTTTGAGACATGTTCGTTTTTGTAGGTCGGAAATCGTGTTGAGGAGCCAATGTGCCGGAGCAAAATTTTAACCTGTCATCTTGCTCAGCAGGTAGCATGCTCCCTTTCCAATAAAATAATATTTACTAAAAATACATTTGAACCTCATTTGCAGCACATCTCCAGAATTACTGATCTTCCAGCAACACCAGCAGACACTAGAGGGTAGTCAACAACAGGGATGTATAGAATATGTACCACAGAAACTTCATGGTAGACATGGTAGTGTCTGGTGGGAGTATTGTGACTTGATCTCCATTTAAAGTGGTTCTGTCAGTCCACTGCCCCACAAAAATGAGTATTTCATAAATGTTTTTAATAAAATACTCACATTGACAAAAGATATACTAAGACAGAGTAGGGACTATTCTATATAGTATAGTAGTATATTTCATAGGCTTGACAAAACCTATCAAGTCAACTTTTGCCATTTCCTCCAGTCATCACTTGTGACAGCCATAGGGAAAAATCCATGCCCTTGGAGGATCCCGGGGACCTACCATAGACATTCCTGCTTCCACCAGGAAGATCATAATGTCAGCTGTGAGGGACAAGTTCAGGAAAGTAAAACTCCCCTTCCCCTACACCCCACGGCCACCAAGCAAAGCAGACACCATTGGGGGTGTTCGCAAAACATTCAAAGACCCCAGATGGTGATAGAGCCATTTTAATAATGCGTAACTTAATAATGTCAGAAGCTTCTACCAATGAACCATGCAGATAAGTCCAGGTAAATCCATGGCTGATCATTTTGGGTCATTCGGATTACAACTAATAATAAAATTGCAAATACAATGGGGTGTCTCTTCTGTGAATACATGCATTAGCCAATATTATTTTAGTTTGTCACCTTTGGTCTGGTCTATATCTGGTGTCCGTCCCAGGCAGGAATGGCTTTATCTTTGGGTCCATTTCATTAAGTTCCAGTGCGAACTTTGTGAATCCATAATACAGCTCAAAGTCCTTAGGCATTGGATCTAATGGAGAAGCAAGCAGACACACGTTAAATTCTATTTTAATAGGAAGTATAATAGGGATCATTCTTAGTTACTATTAGATTTTAATTAACGGTTACTAAAACAAAAAAGGTTGTTTGATAGAAACATGAGATTTCATTAGAATATGGGAATGCTCAATAAAAGCTGAAATGGCTTTATTCCTGTCTCTGACATCGGAGTGTTACTTTATAGTGTGCAGGTATGGCTTTTAAACCAAGTCTTGTTTGTCATGGAAAATTGTAAACAATAAATTCACTTTGAGCTGTTTCATATATGGTCTGTATGTAGAACACTAAACCAGACATACCGTGGACTTTTCACTGGGGGTGTTGTAGAACATACATTATTTACTTGTTTGTTAAGCTAATTTTCTTGCCATAAAAGCAATTGTCAACGTTCCAACATCTGTATTCATTAAATATGTAATAACTTTATTCACAATTTAACTAGCATTTCGTAAAAGCTGAAGCTCTTGAGGAAGAGGGAGGGTTTGGTGTTTTTTTTTAACTTTATAGTGCTGATGGTAATTTGATTTAAAGTAATACATGACAACATTAATGTCTTGCCTGCCAGTTGTTCCAAATTGGAAAATATAAAAGTAAAATATGTCACGGCACTGGAAGTGAAATTCAGCTTTGTACTAATATTTATGTCAATACAGGTATAGAATATGTAATATTTAAGATTCACATATCATTCCTATTTCCTTGGCCTTTAGGAGTATTTATCTTAAGCTACGTTACTGCTCTTTTACAAATTAGCTGTATTTCAAGATTGTTAAATTACTTGCAGTAGAGAAGGGTACATTGATCAGTACCTGGGAAAGCATTATGTAGAGTGGTGCCTTCATAATACATAAAAAAAACAAATGTATCTAAGGAAATCTTCAATCTGCAGGTATATCCTTTGTTTTTATACTTTAAAACAGCATCTAAAAGGTATTCTATAGTGTTAGGAATTCAAGTCTGTATCCCTAACACTATAGAGCCCTCTGGTCTCCCCTTCCTTGCGCCTCCCTCTCCCGGCAGCCTAAGGGTTAAAAAAAAAAACTTTAGTCACTTACCCAATTCTAACGTCAATGTCCCTCTGCGTTGGGTCATCTGACAGGGGAGGCTAATGCACATGCCATTGACAGCCACTAGAGGCAGTCTTAGTCCTACAATGTAATTATTGCAGTTTCTCAAAAACTGTAATGATTTACAGTGCAGGACTATGTGGGACATGGAAATTTCTACCAGACCACTTCAATGAGACAAAGTGGTCAGGGTGACTATAGTGTCCCTTTAAGTCCAGAATGTCTTCTAGAATGTGCCAACAAACACTTGTGCAAACACTTACTTGCTCTCCATATGCAGGTTGGGGATGAAGATGAACCGCAGAACAGGCTCTCATGCCATTTTCCAAACAACCGATGCACCACTTTGCCACTCCTGTCCATGATTGTTCCTTCAACTTCATGTACATTTGGGTTCCAATATTTTGCCTGTTCAAGAAGGTTTTAAATGATCGGTCAATCTAAAAGTATTTTTAAAGCAGCAAAATAAATAAATGATTGAAATATAGACAGAGTATCAAAAGGAAGGTGGGCTACAAAAACAATGATTGTTAAAGGATCACTATAGGGTCAGGAAAACAAATATGTATTCCTGACACTAGAATCAATGCATCTCTATGTGGAAAGTTCAGTGTCTCCATGCAGAGCATGGGGACATTGAATGGCAGGGCTGCTTACTGTGCAGCCCTGAGCCAGGAAGTCCCTCCAGTGGCCATCTAAGGAGTGGCCACTTGGAGGTGTCCATAGGGGCAATTTAACACTGTCTTTTACATGAAAATGCCTGAAGGGAGCTATTATACTCACCAGAACAACTACATTAAGCTGTAGTTGTTCTGGTGACTATAGTGTCCCTTTAAATATAAATCAGTAGTGATGTCCTGAACGGTTCGCCACGGATGGCGAACATATGCGCTGTTCGGTCCGCCCCCATGTCATCATTGAGTAAACTTTGACCCTGTACCTCACAGTCAGCAGACACATTCCAGCCAATCAGCAGCAGACCCTCCCTCCCACCTCCTGGACAGCTCACTAAGAATGCAGCTTCACAATGAATGTAAAATGGATGCTGTCCAGGAGGTGAGAGGATCTGGGAGGGAGGGTCTGCTGCTGATTGGCTGGAATGTGTCTGCTGACTGTGAGGTACTGGGTCAAAGCTTACTCAATGATGACATAGGGGGCGGACCAAACAGCGCATATGTTCGCCGTCCGCGGCGAACCGTTCGGGACATCACTATAAATCAACCATGTCATTGGATCACATAGCAGGGGAGTATTTACCAAGCAATATAAATGGTGGTGTTTACATATCAACATTCTGAAGGCTAGACTGGCAGAAATTCAGCGTTTACTTGCATAAAGAAATTTACCGTACATTATCTACCGAAATTAGCCTCACAAAAACAATTAGGAATCACTAAGGTAAAATGAATACAGAGCAGGGGTGCCAAAAGGTAGATCCCCAGATGTTTTAAAACTACAGCGTCCACGATGCATTGTCATTCTAAAGGCATGCAAAGCAACATATGGGGAATCTACCTTTTGGGCACGCATGATACAGGGTACGAGTATGACAAGTGGAATGTATTGTGCTAACATTTTCAGGAATTGGCATAAAATGTTCTGTTGCATAGTCAGACATGACCATCCGATAAACATTAACAAAAAAGGCTCATTAATAATTCTGTTTATTACAAGTAAGTGAATTATTTTATGATGGATTCTTTCAGTTAGAAGTTTCTTTTTGAGATCTTGTGTATGTGGAAATCCTAGCTCTGTATTTTTCCATAATCTCTTGCACTAGTACCTTCAAACACGTCTTAATACACATTCTGAGAAACAAACACTACACACTGCATAAACAGACTTTAAAAACATACCTTCATAAAGGTTACTTTGCAGTGACAGCTGCTATTTTTGGTATTCTTGATTATGATCTCTCCGTAGTGTTCAATCCATCTCTGACCGCTTAAAATGTTATGGATACAAGAGGTCACCTTATTCCATTCATAATGGTCCCCTGACCTTCAGTAATTAAATAACAAAATAAGTAAGGGGTTTCCACGGTAACTGCTTCACTTTTAAAACTTTCTGTGATTGAAATACACAGACTTACCCTGGTAAGACCAGATGTGTTATACCAATAGGAACAATTTCCATAGATTTGCCCCAAAATTTATTTTTCCACCGGATATCTGAAACAGAAGAAAACCTCTCTATATTTAAAATATTCCTCATTATTCCTTATGCATGACAATAAACGTACACATTATTTCTGCTAATAATTTACATTTTCAATTTTACCATGTTTTAATATTTACTAATATTAACATTACTCATTTATGACATAATACTGTATAATATAACATAACAAGTGAATGAGAAGCCACCAGTATACCTGTAAGGAATAATTAAATATACAAATATAAATACAGTATTTACTCGAATCTAATGCGCAAAATAATAAGTTTTCAAAATCTGAACGCGCATTAGATTCACCTGGAGGAAAAAGGCGGTCCTCACTTAACAACCATCGTAGGAACGGAACTCGGTCGTTCAATTTGAGTTATAATGAGCTATGATAAAAATAAAAAAATGATGATTTTTTTTTTTTTTTTAAAAGGATGCTTATATACATCATGTTTCAACTATTCATTTTATACTGCATGCTTCCTACATCTATTTTAAATAAGTCAAATGCTGATTGCTTCGCGTAGTATCACCAGAAATGAAAGTTCTACATTTCTCCACTAGAGGGAGTCATTGGTTAAATAATTGTTCCTCTTGTTTTGTATCATTGCAGACAATTTTTCAAATGTATTTATAGGAAGGAAAAGAAAAATAAACAGCAAATTTGGAAGTAATGATTTAGTTTTGAGTAAAGATAAGATGTTTTTGCTTATAACACATGTAAAAATGGACAGTTCTGTACATTACACCTTATATTTTAGTTGGAGTTGAAAAAAAAAAAAAAAAAGAAAACTTCCCAAGAAAGTGATATTTATTGTAGACATTACCTCTGGGTCTCCCAAAGCCATCTTTACCTCCATACAATCTACCATCGTAGCACATATGTGGCAGGGCAAGGGCTCCAGACAAAAGTTTGATAACCTCTGCCTTGATTGGGCCTTCCATCAGATAATATCAGGTTAGTCACTTGTTCCGCTGAATGGCATAGGAAGAGTTCTAAAAACTGCTCAACACATTTTGGTTTGATGTCAACAAAGGAGTCCTCAGAGCGGCAGAACAACTGCTGCATAGTTTCATACCCTCTTTTGTGAACTCACAATCATTAATTGGGCCAAAAAAGGGAATGCATCACGCAGGTATATAAAATACTGACAAAAAATATCCTACACTCTCAAAAGCCTTCAGGAATCAATATATTTATTTATAAAATATTTTACCAGGAAAGATACATTGAGATTTCTGTCCTGGGTATGTCCTGGGTCCACAAAACATTGCATTGATACATTATGGTACAATAAAATACAAAAACAATATTAAAGACACAATATATACAAAATTTAACATAGAACAGGTAGGAAATATATAATCAACCATGACAGGTGCATTCTGTTTTGAGGTATGTAGAGAGGGATCTCTTAAAGGAGTCTAGGCTTGGGGAAGATTTTAAAGTGTGCAGGAAGTCGTTTTGATCACTCTATTTCACTAAAGTAGGACCTAGAGTACATATAGAATTGAATAAAAAAAAACATTCTCCATGTCAGAATGTAGCAGACAGTGACATTTGACTTTATCACTCGTTATTGATGTAGGACAATAGCATTCTACCCAGCCTCAAAAGTTTTAATGTCCAAAAATTAAACAAGTTCATTGCAGTACAGGACGCCTGAAGTGCTGCATAAAATCATTTGGCAGAGCCGAGCAATGCTGAAAATGACTAGGAGAGGCGAATACCTTCTAATTTGACATTCTAATTTGCATAATTAATTATATATGCGTGATATCACAGGGCACCACGTACATACAAGAATGAGAACATTCCTTAAATCACTAATAAACTACTTACGATGTTTGTACTTTGACTGTGTGTACAGCATTGTGAATGTGAGGCAGTGTGTGTATGTACTGTCTGTATGAGTGTGCGTAGTAGTGTGTATAGTAGTTTGTCGTTGTCTAAATGTGTATAACAGTGTGATCTTTCGGTTGTCTGAGCCTGTGTCATTGTCTGTATACTCTGAGTGTGTGTCTACAATGTCTGTCTATGTCACTGTGTGTAAATAGTATATAACAGTGTGTGTACATACCATTTATAACAGATTGATATTCTGGTTCCATTACTTTCACCATTCTCCCATCTGACATACACATGCTACTAAATACAAACACAGACTGCTAAATACACAGAGACGCAGACTACTAAATACATACATACATACACACACAGACTGCTGAATACATTCATACATGCACACACACACAGACGGATGAATACATACACACGGATGAATACATACACACACACACACACACGGATGAATACATACACACACACACACACACACAGACACAAAGGCAGCTGAAGTCATACACACACAGATTGCCGAATACAGACTGCCGAATACAGACTGCCGAATACACACACAGACAGATTGCCAAATACACGCACAGACAGACTGCCGAATACACGCACAGACAGACTGCCGAATACACGCACAGACAGACTGCCGAATACACGCACAGACAGACTGCCGAATACACGCACAGACAGACTGCCGAATACACGCACAGACAGACTGCCGAATACACGCACACACAGACTGATTGCTGAATACAGGCACACACAGACTGCTATATACAAACACACACGAGTACCTGCTCACAAGACTCAGCTCCTGCTGCCATGCTTCTATCTCCTTGACCTGCAGCTCCTGCTCCTCCCACTCGGACTCTATTAGTGGAGAGGGCAGGGACAAGCTGCGACATCCTATCTCAGCCCTCTCCACACAGCCAAGCACCAACAAGTTTTCTTAGTATGGCCTGAGAGCACTGCACACCCTGGTGGCAGATATTGCAGTACATTCTCTTAAAAGAAAAATACTGTCAATTGTATTGTCTGTATTTGCAATACCGGCACCGGCCACAGTGCATCAAGTACCAGCTATGCCTGTAAAATACCAGCCAGGTGGCAACCCTATGACAGTCTGCCAAGGAGGCAGATCAGGGTCAGAGTCAGCACCAGCAGACTGGAATAAATGTAAGATTTGACTATATTTAGAGGGGCTAGATAGTGGTTTTAACACTATAGGGTCAGGAACACATGTTTGTGTTCCTAACTCTATAGTGTTCCTTTAACAGGTTAAAGAACAGAACCTTCCAAAATAATAAGCATGGCTACCAGATATTAATTAGCTTTGCGTTAGCAGACATACTGTTAGATTGTGGTTTCTTGCTTCAGGAATTATTATAAGAAAATCCTTTTGCTACTTATAACAAAAAAAATAGAAGGTTGTTTTCTCTCAAACGACATATCCCAGGGGTAGTAAATAAGATGGAACAATAGTAAACATCAATTAACTTTAAAACCGTTAGTTCCATTGCATGCTTATAGCAGTATTCCTTTTCCACATATTGACAGAAATATAACAGCAATTCTGAGAGAAATTATCTCTGAACCTGGAAGAAGCCATTATAACCAAGGGTCGGTTCCTAAAACACTGTGTGGTTTCATTGTATGTTCTCTCAAATAGAATGTGCCATTAGCTCTAAACCTAATGGATTATAAAAAAAATTTAAAAAAACAACCAACAAACCACCTTATTCCAAGAAAACATTTCTCATTACAATTTACACTTTAAAATCACAAACCCAGCCATCGTTTTCAAACATGCAAGATAGCTTACTATCAATGTAGTGATTCCCAAGGTGAAACACGACCCATTAATAGCTGCAATTATCGGAGAGCTCTGCAGCTGGGCTCATAAACATTACAGTAAATGAGGAATAATGATTTATCATGTCTGATCATGTTGTGGTAAATTGTAGAACACATTGTACAGGAATCTTGACAAACTCAAATGTAAAAAGCACTTAACACATTAAATTTAGCCCTCATTTCATAGAGGAATACATTTTGTCTTTGAGTCACAAACACAGTAAGTTGTAATTAGGAAAACGGACTATGAGTAAAATAGGATATCAGATGTTTAGCTGTTCAGTGGTCCATCTATAATTTCCAAAAATGATTATTCTCTGGGGGAGGGAATGGAGGGGATGATAAATAAAAATCCAAAAGCATTTGCCTTTGTCTTGTTTGCCTGCAGTATAAAAAAAACCAAGTGCCACAGGGATATACAGAAACATTTTAGATCATTTTAGTTTTCCTCTATTTAATTTCTAATAGTTTTAGGTTAGATTTTATTTCTTTTTAATATAATTTTGGGTTCATATGGTCCCATTCACAACAAGAAGGGCAGCTAGAGGAAGTTTATCTGCTTGTTCGAAATCATTACATAACAGACATCTTTGGATTATTATTATTATACCACATACTTGACACATTATTAGAAATGTATTATTGTATTTTTCGGTCACTGTCCATATACTATAATGTCTAAACATTATTGACTTAAAATGTGGACAAAAATGTACAATTGTTATTTTTATGATTATTATTTAAAACAATAAAAACATTTGAAAAGAAATGTATTATTGCATATAAGAATGCTATTCGCTTCCCCACTGCTAGTTCAATCCAAATTGTGGTCTTGAGGGATGGGTTCACACCATCAAATATTTACTAATAATTGTCTCATAGCTGCACTTATCTCTAGCATTATTTTGACATTTTAGCTAAGGAACTTGAAATAAATAAGGCACGTGCCAGGCCGGAAAGGACTAATTCTTAATGCATTTTTAAAAAGGTGCATTCAAATATGCAAACTAGATAAATTAAATTAATAAGAAATATGTCCTATAAGGTTCTTGCATCTGTACCAACCCCTGGACTTTACAGTATTTGCACCCACTGAACCAGGAGGTAATTCAGCTAATCAGAAGGCTCTCATGCTGTTCAACTGTGTATTTAACATATATAATGATTCCAGCTAAAGTTAGAGTTTAGCCGATTACAAAATGAAGATAAACTTAAAGGAACGCGTCAGGCATATAAAGCGTGTCAGCTTGCAGAAGTGCTTCATGTGACTGGAGTCTGTCATATTTGTGACAGTTTATAAAATGTCAGAAGAAATCTGCACTTTTATAATCTGGAGCAGAAACACCTACTTGTCGGTCACTCAGACAGCCAGATAGGTTTTCTTCGCTTCTGTTAGCTACACAGAGATAACAGAAGTTACAGGTGCATTGCAGTAGTGCATGCCTGCCTCATCTCCCCAATGAGCTGAATTTCAACTCATTGAGAAGCATTAGAAAGCCGCATGAGCGCACTTCTCCAACGCAGAGGCTTCTCAATACTGCTCCAAAACAGAGGCTGCTGGGGAGAAAGAAGGGAGGACTTGCAAATGCGAGCTGCTATTTTACAGACCCCCAAAAGAAAACATCCCCCAAAAATACATGTGAGTTTTCTTTGGGGTAATATCTACTAAATTGTAAAAAAAAAAAAAAAAGTTTAATGGAGTGTGTGCCCTTAGACCCTGTGGATTATTATTTTATTATTTATATAGCGCCATCAGATTCTGTAGCACTGTACAATGGGGATTAAGACACCTCCAGGCAAGAAGAAGAAGTCTTAAAGTGAGAAGTTCACTTTATGCTCTAATACCTCATTAGGGAATGCATATCCCATTGATCATAAGGATGGTTTATCTCACCGGTTACCGAGATGTTAGGTTAAAGCATTCCGGTCTATGCCGTCAATATAGGTCTCTATACCAAAAAAACTTAAGTAGGTGTGGGGAGAACCTTTACTAACGCTGGCCACAAATTGTATAGATAAAATGTATGTACCATCCCAGGAACACTTTAAATAATATAAGGTAAGCATGCAGTTTTAGAATTAAAGAATTTCTTCCCAGTTGACCAAGGATACCAGGCCAAGGGGTTTTCATTATCTGGAGAATATATATAGGAGGCCATAAGGGAGAGAAATAAGTAAAACCGTTATGGTAACATTAGACATAAAATGACTTCAAACTCCTATTTTTAGTATGAAAACAGAAAAGTAAAATAAATCTTGACTGAAGATGCAATTTGACAATGTTCTACAAATGCATTAAATTACAAGAAAAATAATTTCAATTCTAGGTCAAAACACCTGTACAGGACTAATTCTCACATTCAGTAGAATTTTCGACTTGGTAATTTGGCCTAAATTTGTCAAATTTTATTTTCAAGTCACCATTTACTTTTGGCAATTAAATTCCATCATGACAAACCAGGAATGGCTGGCAAGGAGACAGTCATCCCCCCCCCCTATGTCAAATATTAAATTGTAATTTATCAGATATTCACAAACCATCTCTTTTCTCCTCTTTCCCATTAGGCAATGGAATGAAAATATATGAGGTTATTATGAATTAGTAACTTTAAAAGAACAGGTAGCAATATGTATTAAAATTACCTTGATAAAAAACAAATTTTTCAGATTCGGCATGGCAGGCAGATACTGGGGGATGGTGACTAACCTGCAAATATGAAAATAAAATTATATATTATCAGGACAGCAGTATATCTACCTAATGTATTTGGAGCGATCAAGATTTAAATAGCATGTGATGAATTTAAACTATTTTGATCACAAACCATATTCAACTGAGAAAAAAGTCCAAGGATAACTTTTGTTTCAGTGTCATGACTCTGGATCTCAAATTATTAACGATACACTATAGGCACACAGACCACTTCACCTTATTGAAGTGGTCTGGGTGCACTGTCCCCTTAACCCTACAATCTATAAGACTGCAGTTTCAGAGGGACCCCGGCACTGGAATCAGGTGAGTGAAGAAAGGAGATTCAACCCTTTATTTGCTGGCGGGGGCAGAGAGGGGTGACAGATGAACACTTTAGTTATCTTTGAATTCCAAAAAAAGTGTTAATTTAAAGGGACTTATCAGCAGCTATTTTCTAGTAGACTTCTTTATTATTAATAAAGGTTTATTAAAAACGGCTATTGTATTTTGTTATTTAAAACTTGAAACCTTGAAAGTTAAAGTTTTTCTATGCATAGGTAGACTTAGCAAGTCTTTCCTGTCTGCAAGCAATATAATTTAATTCACAGCTAAGAAACTTCAACTTCAATGTGCAGCAATCATTAGTCTGTAAGTGCAGAAGTTCCAACCAATGATCTCTCATATCACATTAAAAGGACACTGTAGGCACCCAGACCACTTCAGAGAAACTGTATTGTTTACATTGCAGCTCTAAGTCTGCCCACAGTGGGTGTCTACCAGACAGCCACTAGAGGGCTTCCTGAAGCCAAACGTACCTTTATCTGACACTGGATGTCCCCACGCTCTGCATCCAGCGTCAGATTTTGCCCGATAGGAAAGTATCGATTCAATACTTTTCTATAGGAAGGTCTAATGCGCGCGCGGCACTTGCCGCGCATTAGCACCCACTTGTCGCGGGCCATCGGAGGGGACGGGGCTTCGACCAAGCGCAGTGATCGGCGCTGGGAAAAAGTAAGTAAATAAAGGGAGGAAGAGGGAGCTATAGTGCCAGGAATACAGCTTTGTATTCCTGGCACTTATAGTATCCCTTTAACCTCAAGTGGTGTTAAAAATACAATGCTGATGCAGCAAACCAATACCTAAATAAAATTAATTTTAAAGGTTTAGAAACACTGGGGACCATATCTCCTGGATACAATCTTTACAAATATAAGATAACATTAATATGATCAGAGTAATGAAATGTACTGTTACCTGCTCTGCAATGAACCTAACGCCTTCATCTTCTTTAACACATTCATATGTCTCTCCGAGTACAGGGTTAAAAGGCTTGCTTCCTGCTCGGTAGAAACTAGATGCATACACAGATACTGCAAATGTGGCCACATAAACCTAAAATAACATACATTTTAGTTACAACTGGATAGAAGCAAGAAATCTACTAAGGGCAAACATACGTTTATTGACAGTATAATGGCATAAATGGTCTCACAGTAGTTCAATACAAACAGGACGGCCACAATGTAATACTTTTGGACAAGCATTTGGAATTCTAACAAACGGATAAAAAAAACTTTGAACTATCTACAGAAGTCACCATTAACACCTATGGGATATTTTTTGTAGGTAAATCACTTGAAATGGTTTTCTAACAGATTGTGAACATTTGAAAAACTTAGCTAAAAATATTACATTGTGGCCAATATTGGTTCATAATTCCGCAATGCCTTTAATCGTTATTTTGATTCTAGGGTTTTATGAACTTTTCAGAATTTATTGCTCCACTGTCATTTAGTTTCCAAGCTTTCTATATGAATTGTGTTCTCACTGAGAAAGGCTTCCTCCCAACTCAAGTGAATGAGGCAAGAGACGTGTTGTGGTCTGTTAACCAGTCAACTGTGTGTACAAAAAAATGCACTCTACAAGGCATGAAGATTATGCCAGTTGCAAAATTACTTACTACAGTATATATAATGTATAAAGTTCCTCTAAACAAAGGACAGTAAGGTCTGTGACAGTTAGTTGCTTGCAGTGCTGCAACATGGGCATGTGATCCAAGATATCGAATGAATAGATACAGGGAGTGCAGAATTATTAGGCAAATGAGTATTTTGACCACATCATCCTCTTTATGCATGTTGTCTTACTCCAAGCTGTATAGGCTCGAAAGCCTACTACCAGTTAAGCATATTAGGTGATGTGCATCTCTGTAATGAGAAGGGGTGTGGTCTAATGACATCAACACCCTATATCAGGTGTGCATAATTATTAGGCAACTTCCTTTCCTTTGGCAAAATGGGTCAAAAGAAGGACTTGACAGGCTCAGAAAAGTCAAAAATAGTGAGATATCTTGCAGAGGGATGCAGCACTCTTAAAATTGCAAAGCTTCTGAAGCGTGATCATCGAACAATCAAGCGTTTCATTTAAAATAGTCAACAGGGTCGCAAGAAGCGTGTGGAAAAACCAAGGCGCAAAATAACTGCCCATGAACTGAGAAAAGTCAAGCGTGCAGCTGCCACGATGCCACTTGCCACCAGTTTGGCCATATTTCAGAGCTGCAACATCACTGGAGTGCCCAAAAGCACAAGGTGTGCAATACTCAGAGACATGGCCAAGGTAAGAAAGGCTGAAAGGCGACCACCACTGAACAAGACACACAAGCTGAAACGTCAAGACTGGGCCAAGAAATATCTCAAGACTGATTTTTCTAAGGTTTTATGGACTGATGAAATGAGAGTGAGTCTTGATGGGCCAGATGGATGGGCCGTGGCTGGATTGGTAAAGGGCAGAGAGCTCCAGTCCGACTCAGACGCCAGCAAGGTGGAGGTGGAGTACTGGTTTGGGCTGGTATCATCAAAGATGAGCTTGTGGGGCCTTTTCGGGTTGAGGATGGAGTCAAGCTCAACTCCCAGTCCTACTGCCAGTTCCTGGAAGACACCTTCTTCAAGCAGTGGTACAGGAAGAAGTCTGCATCCTTCAAGAAAAACATGATTTTCATGCAGGACAATGCTCCATCACACGCGTCCAAGTACTCCACAGCGTGGCTGGCAAGAAAGGGTATAAAAGAAGAAAATCTAATGACATGGCCTCCTTGTTCACCTGATCTGAACCCCATTGAGAACCTGTGGTCCATCATCAAATGTGAGATTTACAAGGAGGGAAAACAGTACACCTCTCTGAACAGTGTCTGGGAGGCTGTGGTTGCTGCTGCACGCAATGTTGATGGTGAACAGATCAAAACACTGACAGAATCCATGGATGGCAGGCTTTTGAGTGTCCTTGCAAAAAAAGGTGGCTATATTGGTCACTGATTTGTTTTGTTTTTGAATGTCAGAAATGTATATTTGTGAATGTTGAGATGTTATATTGGTTTCACTGGTAATAATAAATAATTGAAATGGGTATATATTTGTTTTTTGTTAAGTTGCCTAATAATTATGCACAGTAATAGTCACCTGCACACACAGATATCCCCCTAACATAGCTATAACTAAAAACAAACTAAAAACTACTTCCAAAAAATATTCAGCTTTGATATTAATGAGTTTTTTGGGTTCATTGAGAACATGGTTGTTGTTCAATAATAAAATTAATCCTCAAAAATACAACTTGCCTAATAATTCTGCACTCCCTGTAATGATAACATCATTTAAGTATTTAAAATGTACGCGTAGACACTTAAAGGGACACTATAGTCATCAAAACAACTTTAGTTCAGTTTTGGTGTATAGATCATGCCCCTGCAGTCTCACCGCTCAATGCTCTGCCAGGATTTAAATCACTTTGTTTATGCAGACCTAGGTACAACTCCCTTCCTTTATTGCAAATTTCGTTTAATTTCACATTTCTTATCTCCTGCTCTATTGATAGCTTGCTAGACCCGGCAGGATCCTCCTGTGTGTGATTAAAGTTTAATCTGCAGAGCAGGAGACACACACTTCTAATGTAGGCTAATATCTGATTGACTATGAAACCATCATTTTCATGCAGGCTGTGAGAGTCACAGCCAGGAGAGGTGTGGCTAGAACTGAATATACGGAAACAAAGTGATTTAACTCCTAAATGGCAGTGAACTGAGCAGTGAAACTGCAGGGGCATGATCTGCTTCATTAAAGGAACACTTTAGTCACCAGAACAACTACAGCTTAATGTAGAATTATTGCCTTCGGGCATTTTTATGAAAACACTGCCTTTTCAGGGAAAAGGCAGTGTTTACATTGCCCCTTATGGATACCTCCAATTGGCCACTCCTGAGATGGCCACTAAAGGGGCTTCCTGGCTCAGGGCTGCACAGTAGGCAGCAGTGTCATTCAGCGTCTCCACGTTCTGCATGGGGACGCTGAATTTTCTTTATAGAGATGCATTGTTTCAATGGATCTCTATGACGAGGTGCTGATTGACCAGAAAGGTGTTTGGCCCTGCCCCCATGTCGATTTCAGCCAATTCAATGCTTTCCCCATGGGAAAGCATTGGATTGACTAAAAAGCAGCAATTCTGATTATGTCACCAAGGGGGTAGAGCTAGCGCGCGGTGCTGGAATTAAGGTGAGTTTTAATTCATTCTAAGGGGGCTCAAGCCATCTAAATGGTGGGTTAAATACTATAGGGTCAGGAATACATGCTTGTGTTCCTTTAAGCTAAAGTTGTTTTGGTGACTATGGTTTTCAATTTAAGAAATAGTTCTTAAAGGATCACTATAGTGTCAGGAAAACAAATCAGTTTTCCTGACACTATAGTACCCTGAGAGTGCCCCCACCCTCAGGGTCCCCCTCCCGTGATGCTGAAGGGGTTAAAACCCCTTCAGTTACTCACCTTCTTCCACCGCCGCGCTCCCTTACCTCTCTCTCCCCCCCTCCCTACCGTCAGCTCCCCCGTCTGATGTCAGCGGAGCGGAATGCGCATGCGCGGCAGTGCCGCGCGCGCATTCAAAGTGTCCATAGGAGAGCATTTTTCAATGCTTTCCTATGGACACTCTGCGTGATGGAGGCATGATATGCCTCCAGCGTCGCAGATGCTCCTCTAGTGGATGTCCGGAAGACAGCCACTAGAGGCTGGCTTAACCCCAAATGTAAACATAGCAGTTTCTCTGAAACAGCTGTATACAGCAGGCAGGGTTAACCCTAGAGGGACCTAGCACCCAGGCCACGTCATTGAGCTGAAGTGGTCTGGGTGACTATAGTGTCCATTTAAATGCAATTTTCTGGCTTAAAGGGACATTCTACTGCCCAAATACAAAAAAATAAATGTAAAAAATAAATTAAATTTTTTTTAAAAAAATCACTGTTTAGTAGATATACCCCAAATTAAAACTTCCATGCATTTAATTATGCATTTTTTTTTCATTGGAGTTATACCTAAAAACAGTTTGCAAAAACTGCAGATCTCTTGTCTGATGCCTTTGCAAACCCTCCTCTTCTAACCCCACACAGACTTTATGTTGCTGTTCAGTCATAGGTTTCCCAATGCAGTTTAATGAGTAGTCATTGCAAGGCAGGTACTCTGGGCAACAGCTGCCTCTTGAGTTCAGTGCAACTAAGCTAACCAAACCAGGAACTATTAGGACCTGTTGTCTGCTTGAAAAGCCAGGAGGTGTAACCAGCATATTTTATAAAAGTTTCACTCTTCACACAAAGCTTTTAAGCAAGCTGAAGTGAGTTAGGGGTCTGGAGTGTATATTTAACATAAATAAACAATAAGTGCATTTTCAAGGAGGACAAGTCATGCCCATACCATTCGTTCATATTGGTCTTCAGTCTCAGCTGCTTTGTGTAGCAAATAACTATATTCAAGTTCCTCACATAGTCTCTGCAGGGTATTAAGTGGCTCGTTCAACTGTACAGGCATGGATACTTTGGAAAGATCTTTGCCAATGTTGTTTCTAAGGATATTCCACAAGCTGATATTACTCGTGTTTGGACATGGAGCAGGAAGACACGTTCTGCGTTTCGGACAGCCATCGACTGTTGTAACAGACTCTGAGTCTAAGCCAAAAGAGGGAAAAACAAAACACGAAAAGCCTGTTAGTGAGTTACACTATCCCAAACAAATATTTATAAAATCCTTGTTCTGAAGAAGTGCAGATTCTCACTTCCCTTCTCAACCTCAATTCCAAAAAAGCAACACTAATAGTGTCTGCAAACAGTAATGATGCTGTGTTGCCAAAACTACAGCAATATGTCTTAACGAGGACAGAAATTGTGAGTAATCTAGCATACAGTCACACGGTCTAATCTAAAAAGAATTTCCTCTATTCAGTTCCTAACACTCTATATATATAAAAAGTGAGTAAGTTCTGTTGTTTGAACCTTTTCTACACTGTGTGTGTACATGTGTGTTTTGACATCCAACGAAAAACCAAGGATGGAGCGTGGCAATTTTTACATAACTGGGAATAAATACAACAAAAATTAGCATAGAAAAGGTTTTCTTGGTAACTGAAGACTAAATTAAAAAAACAACAATGTTTTTCATGACACCACCAGCACAATGTACAGATTATATTATTTGTAGGTCAAAGGTGGCATAACAATATTTAGTATAACTACCTAAATAGTCTTAGTAGTCCATAGCTTATTCTATTAAATTAAAAAGTACAGTTTAGTTCACAAGCAGGTTTACACAATACCACAGTACTAAATTTTTTTTTTTATTTTTTTTTTAATGGACATAACTGCATTTTAGGAAAATTATTACAAATCAAACAAAAAGCATACAAACCAAAAACATTTGTGTTCATATAGCTTATATGAAAGCATTTTCTCAAAAACATCCAACAAGAAACTTTTGGTAAAAACATGCCAATGTATACCTAAAGATCGTCTTTCGTGGTCAATGTCATTGCTTAGATTATCCTCCGAAATGTTATCGCTTATATCGCTGACATACGAGTCATCATCCGATACCTAGACACGAAATGGGCACAAAGGACATGCATTAATAAAATGGTTTTTGAAGCCAATGTCCAATGCAATGGATCGTGCTAGGTGAACTAATGCTCTGATATTAACAGATAAAGGTGTAATGTTCACAGTTTATACGTGCTTGGGAAAGTTGACAAGCTCCAAACTTAGAATACTAAGTAGCGGAAATCTTGTAAGAAACAGGCCCTTGTAAATAGATATGTTATTTTAAACTAGAATGTAAACGGTTATATACAGCAATGGAATAGGTTTGTGCAGAGAGCTCAATAATAAAACTCAATAGCCAAAAAGCTTCAGTGTTGTAGAGATGTACAAAGCCTTTTTCTTCTTTATATGATATGTCAGTGTGCAAACCATACATGTACATACTGTGCTTAAAACTCAATATGTCAGTACATAATGGACAGCCATAAAGTCAATATAATTTATACCAATAGTTCTATTGTATGAGGACAGTGATTCTAAGAAATTAATAATCTGGCTAAAGTGACAGCATCTTTTTAACCCCTTAAGGACACATAACATGTGTGACATGTCATGATTCCCTTTGATTCCAGAAGTTTGGTCCTTAAGGGGTTAGAAATAATTATTTAGAGATCCAGAAGATACCATGGATTCCATAATGATTTCACTTACCTACAACCTCAACGATAGAAAAATACATAAAAGAACAATAATTAATTTCGTGTTTAACCATATAAATAATTTATTGGTTTGGTTAGTTAAAATTCTCTAATGCTCTAATGTAAAACAGCTTTGTTTCAAAAGCAGGCTGAAGGTATCAAACATATGAAACCATGGTCAGAGACATTGACCTCATTCTCAGATGAGCTCGATGACTGCAGCACTTCCTGAGCATCAAAGAACTCTGAGATGGAATCTGTGATTGACAGTCTACTTTCATTGGACATCTGATGGACCAGCGTCTTGCTCTCCTCACATGAGATGTCCTGTTATCAAATAGTTAAAATAAAGAGAACATGTTACTTTTTTTTTTTTTTTTAAAAAGGAGGTAACCAAACCAGCTTATATTCAAGTAAAACAACATAACATTAAGCATTTGTGGTTAGTCTATCACTTTAACAACCCCAATGAAACGAATATATGCGTATTAATAGGATTGAACATAAATAGATTTGTATAAAAAGAAGGAAGAAAAAAAATTTGTGTGTAGGAGAGATACAAATCTTAACCATCAAAATGCACATTGACATAAATTGGCAGGTTTCAAATAGATTCAGTTTTCTAAAAGCAGGAACAGATGCAAAACATACACTGGAGGACAGTCGGATCCTGCAAACTCCACTTAAAAATGTCCCAGGATTCATTAAAAATAGATGAATCTAGGATAACTTGGAATGCAAAATGTGAAAATGCAAAAGCTGTAACACCACATCGAAATTTGACTTGATAATAAGCTGATTATTTATAGAAAGATGTATTAAAAGTATTGCTTTCAGCATATTTGCTGGATTCCTTGAAATTTGTCATGTATCCAGATATTTCCTTCTTCCGTGATTTACAGGGTACCATGATTAGAACAGAATGAAGGGTTGACTAAAATCCCATGAATTTCTACAATGGAATGTCCAAAGAAACTCTGTACTTAAGTTGCTGCTGTTATCTGTTGTATGGCAAAGTGAGGAAAAGGTGGACTCTTGGATGTCCCGATCTCCTGCCCAATCACTGCATCAGGTAGATGTTCCGTTCCATTCAATAAGTCTGCTCAGCTACTCTTCCAGTACGTACTGTGCAACAAGGATGTCCATCAACTCCCTTGACAACGTATCCTCTGATGTTTGTGTTTTATTAATGTGCCTAGAAAAGTATGTAGTAGAGTCTTCACATACACTATATAATACAGTGTAAGGTATCCAGGAGCTAGTCAATAACACCTTAAGGACACAACTTCTGGAATAAAAGGGAATTGTGACAGAATATTTCCGTCATGTGTCCTTAAGCGGATAAAATGGATTAATGATAAATTGATGCTTAATATTAATAAAACGTTTATAAAACACTGGGGTGTCCCAATAGCAGTATAAGTCCAAAGCAATATAGGATGAATATGTATGGTATAGGTATCCAGAACCCTGCTTATGAAAATAATACAGGGTGGACCATCCATACCCTTACACTTTATTATATAGTGTATTTTGCATGGTTTTTAAAGGTTTCGGTGAATCCCTTTTTAACTTTCCAGTTTTAGAGCTACTCCCTTCTGCCTTATTTCCTCTTCTTTCTTTATATTCTACCTCTGAATATCAGAATATTTAGAGTCTTCACGTGCCCATGGAAAAACCAAATTCAAAAACTAAATCTTCAGAGATCATGAACTCTAGTTGTGAAAATATGAGTTCCATAATACTAGATAATAAAAATTCAGAGAACTGTACGATCTTGATTTGACGGATATGGAACAAAGGATTTCATAGTCTCAGCCTGCAGTTATCTTACTCATGAAGTAGTTATGATGAAAGCTAAAATGAATGTGGTTTTCTTCAGTTTAGATGTCAGGACCAAATATACACATTGTTCAGTCTCTCAATACCACAAGAGGCTTCCTCTTCATGCAGAATACCCACCCTCAAGCACAAAATGAATGCAAGCTTGATAAGATGCGATCTGTATCAGTTTCCTAATATTCAGTTACGAGAATGAGGATATAGTCAACACTTTAAAACATCATTTTTCAAAATTATTAAAGGCGGGTACTTACTGATAACGCATTCTTCAGTCCTATGATTTGGGCAGTTGGAGAAATGTCCTGTTCCAGCAATTGTTTCAGTTTTTCTCTCTCAGTGAAGACTGTGCTATAGGCAGATTTTAAAGTAGAATACGCTGTAGGTGTACACAGAAAGAGACAATCAATACAATTAATAAACTAGATTAGAAACATGATAAATCTTCAGTAACCATGTGCAAAGACTTTTTTTGTGAAACAGGCACTCCCTGCACAATAAACACTACAAATCACTCCAGTGGTAGCGAAGCAAAAAGTCTTTGCGTGCCATGTTCCTTTTTTTTTCCCTCTTTGTGTTTTTGAATGTTTTGACAAAAGAAAAACAACACACAAAAACAACAGGGTTCTACCAGTGTGTGAGCTTCCCCATTATCTGCCCAACCATGGCTTCAGTGAAGACATGACTAGGGTAACCAAATACATGAATGTGTAAGAGAAGGGGATGGGGCAGCTTTAGAGCACAAAATTAAACAGAGTTAGTGACCAAACACCTTGGACAGCCAGGGTTCTCTAAGCGGTTACAGGAATTCTATAATGACAGGAGAATTAGATTTAGAGGACAGTGTACTCCTGTTGCAGTGAGAGTTTACTCCAAACACGCCATATTAAAAAAAAGGTTGTCATATAAGAGTTTAACAAAAGATTTGAATGCATTAAACAAAGAGAGATTACTGCTTTCTGGCACAAATCAGCTCTTGTATAGTTGTGAAGTTGCCAGACTTCTTTAATTTGATTGTTTTAATTGCACCCTTTTCCAAAACAAAAGGTTGAGTCCTAAGTGTCTGGGTCCAAAATGCTAGATAGCTGTTGCCTGGTTTGAGCCTTTTCCATTCGCTATATTATATGTGATTGTAAAATTAAAGGACTGCCAAAAACAAGAAGCTTTTAAAAAGAGCCACAATTAAAACATCTTTAGAAATAAAAGAGACAAAGGAAGCAAACAGACAGATGAATATGTGTTTCACAATGCGCAAATCATTTTATTCATGTATTCATGTAATAACCTGAAATAGCCCCTGAATTCTGTAATGAGCTTGAGGACATCTACATGCTTTTATCTAGACATGGGAGGTTGATTTAAAAAGAAAAAAGAGCTGATCTGGGAACTAGAAGAACAATACGCATGTGAGTGAATGCAATGTTACACGTGATCTATATATGACCTCTAAAGCATGAACGTGCGAGTCAGATAATGTCAGACAAGGATGGATTACGCAATAATGGAAAACGCACAGTGGTTTTCCCAAGGTGAGTTCTGAAAGGCAACTGATTAAGCATCAAACTAACCAAGCACTCAATGGCATCCTTCCAATAAGACAAGGCATTGGAGCAAATAACGCCACTCAGACTTGTGTCTGCGTTTTATCAGTGCTTGTTACTCCAATAAACAGTCATGCCATGACATCCCACTAATCTGAAATAAATGCATTAAAACTCAGATTCATTTTTTATAATAGTGCACAAATGGATTTAGGTTTCTTTTATTGTATTTACTAATCTTTTATTGTGTTTACTAATCTGGGTTAGCTCAGCGGTGTCCTTACGATACAGTCTTTGGGTGGTATTTAATAAGTATAGGTATGATGTATCCATTTCATACAATGATTTTGGCACTGATGGTTTGCATATATACAATATTCTATATTTATACAAGATTGCCCTTTTTCGTGTTCCTTCTTCTTTAAAGGGACACTATAGGCACCAAGACCACTACAACTCATTGAAGTGGTCAGTGTGCAGTGTCCGTTTTTAAGAAACTGCAATAATTACCTTTGAGGGTTAACTCCACCTCTGGTGGCTGTCTACCAGACAGCAACTAGAGGGACTTCTAGGTTGTAAGAAGACTTTGGTTGCCTGACGCTAGACGTCCTCACGCTATACGTGGGCACAACCAGCGTCATGTAAAACCCCATAGGAAAGCATTACACATACTTTCCTACTGAGGAAATACTAATGCGAGCGCGGTCATTGCTGCGCATGCGCATTAGGTCTACCCCGCCGGCTGACGTCTTGACAACTTTTTTTTTCCTCAGGCACAATAGTTTCCCTTTAAGTTGCTGCACCATGACAAAGAGAGTGTTGGAGGAAGAAGAAAGTTTGCAGACATTACAAAACCAAATATATCTGACCTGATATTTTTAAGAATTGAAGGTTGCTGTTATTTTGTTTTTTGGTGGTTGTAGATTTACTAGATGGCAAAATGCTGAAAAGTAAAAACTGTTACTTATTAAATAGATTTGTGTAACCGCCTTAAAAGTCTTATTTGGATATTGCCACAATGAATAAAACATTGTAAATAACCTTTAATTTGTGTTAACTTTTTCTCATGTGATGCGGTTCCTTTTAACTCCTTAAGGACACATGACATGTGTGACATGTCATGATTCCCTTTTATTCCAGAAGTTTGGTCCTTAAGGGGTTAAAATGTTATCAACGTTTTAGAAGACATCAAAATCCAGTCCAGGCACAGCCAGAACAAACACGGCAAATGAGGTGGAAGTTACAGAATCATAGTTTAATTTATTTTCGTCTTATCCTGGCACTTGTTACAATCACTGGCAATTAGCTTTATAAATGAAGATCACAGCAGAAATGGGAGAAAAAATAGAAACAACTAATGGCAAATAAATGTACAACAACAGTGTATATACTACGTTACAAAATGCACCTGTATTGTAACGACAATTCAAATCACACTGCATCTCACCTTTGTGAGCAATATGACACAGATCATCCTGCATTTTGGTAAATTCAGAGTTTTCAGAGCCACTGGAATATGTTTTTTCCTCGGTATAATCTATGGTAGATAAATTTGGGTTGGAAGCATGGAGTCTTACATTTGCTGAGAGGGTTGTTGGAACCTGCAGGAAATATACGAAAGGTTGTTTAACACATACACCAAGGAGAATTCTTACATAACCAACGGTTGACTGGTTTTAGAAAACTCAGAATGCATTTATATAAAGTACAAGGATATGCAAAAATATCATTTTAACCACTGGCAAAACTCAGTCATGCTACAGAAAGCCAAGTACTTTTCTGTGTTGTGTTTAGAAGGAATCCTCTAAGGAAGTCTGCTGTCAGTCATGGCGTGAAGTGGGAATTTAACAGAGCTGGCTATGGATGTAGTCAGTGCATGTGAAATTATGCATAGAGAAGAAGAGGCTCTCTGTATTTTATAGAATTTGAATCTGCAAATCGAGGATGGAGTTCGTGGATTGACATGCCCCAGTGTATCATTGCCACATTTACCACAACGTGGTCAAATCATAAAAAAGTATATACTCAATTTAAATATCAATGATTACTTTTCAGCATGCCTAAATCATAAAATGATATATATATATAAATTCCATATAAAGAATGATTGTCCATGAAAATTAGAAGAACATTTAGGAGACTTTTTTTGTGTGAGTTTTGAAATTATATTTTGTACTTTAAAAGTCAAATTTACAGTTTATTCAGAAAGTATTTAGACCCCTTCACGTTTTCAATTTTTTTTTTTACTATTAGTATACATTCAATACCCTAATAAAAAAAAAAGCATTAAAAACTTTGCAAAATGTATTAAAAAGAAAAATTTAAATATCACATTGACAAAAATATTCAGACCCTTTTCTATGACACTTAAGATTTAGCTAGGATGCATCCAATTTCTATGGAGAGGTTTCGACACTTTGATTGGGGTCCAAGTTCAGTTAGTCGGACATGATTTGGAAAGGCAGAGCTGGAGGAGGAAGGGCCTTGGTAAGAGTGTTGATCAAGTATCCAATGGTCAATTTGGGTGAGCTCCAGAAATCGTGTGTGAAAATGGGAAAAACCTGAAGAAGGGCAACCATCACTGCAACACTTCCCCAATATGGTCTTTTGGGCAGACTGTCTAGTTGGAAGGGTCTCCTCACTGCTAAACGCATTAAAACCCACCTGGAATTTGCAAAAAAAGCACCTAAAGGACTCTCAAGACTGTGAGGAACAAGATTCTCTGGTCTTATGAAAAATAGATTGAACTGTTTGGCCTCAGGTCACAGCATGGGGATCTTTTTTAAAGCTGGAAGTGTGATTTACTCAATGTAACTCTCTGAAACTGCTATGTTTTCAGCTGCAGGGTTAACACTCGAGGGACCTGGCACCCAGACCACTTCATTGAGCTGAAGTGGTCTCGGTGCCTATAGTGGTTCTTTAATGTGGGTTGAGTGTAGAGGATGTTAAAGCAAACAATATAAACAATTGTAGTACAAGGCTGCAACATAAAAAAATGTGAAAAATTAAGGGGTAAAAAAAATTGTCCATATAGACATTGTAAATATTATGAAATTTGATAATAAAAGAAAGGATCACATATTTTACTCAAACAGATTTTTTATTTTTTTTAGGAAAAAAAAAAAAAGTTGTTTGATTTCATTAATTGGTGTCTGGCTCCTTTGCAAGGGAGTCTTAACCTTATATGACTTAATCATCCTTCACCCACTTATAAAGGTTAAATTGCAAAGGCTAATTCTAAACCATCTGTCAGTGATGACACCAAACCGCTTATAAATTGCTGTTCTATCTACAGTTTGCTGATTTATTCCTAAGCCATTTATGAATTTTCAGCATCGGTAATTGGTCATGTTTGGGTACATATGTCATATGATATCACCAGGCATTAAAGAAATTAGACAGTATTACATGAACGCACCAAAACTAATGCTTTAAAGAATAAATGTTTTAATCTAAGTGTAAATGGTGTCCTACAAAATTATTATTATTTTATTAATAATTACTGGTAACAAAACACCTTGCATAGCTTTTGTGTTGAGAGTCAATTGCACATTCATAGTTCAAGCAAGTTGACCAAATTGTTTTAGACAACCTCTCTGTTTCTGTTATATACAGATTAAACATATATGCATTCTTTTTAATATAAAATATAACAAAATTATAGTACCTGCAATGACCCTTTGGAATCTTTACTTATTCCTTTCGTTCGCCACTTTCTTTTGTTTAATCCTTTAACTTTTTTAGGGCTTTCAAAAGCATTAACCTTGGAAAAAATGCAAGTTAATGAGTTTAAATAGACATGCATCACTTGATAATTCTTTTATTTTTTTTAAACAAGCTAGTAAACACCTTTATACACACATGTATGAACTAGACTAAAGCAAAAAAAAAAAAAAGGGAAAAGTATGTCATAAACATTTATAACTTACTATAAACTTTGTACGTTTGCTTTCTTCGGCACGCCTCTAAGCAAGATGACTTTTTTCAGCCTCCCTCTTCTGACTCTTACCTGCCTCTCTCCCACCCACTGATCCACCCATCACAGTTTCACATAAATTAGCACTAGTTAACTAGTTAAATCTATACATTTAGTCCATGAAAGTAAAAAAAAAAAAGGCCAAATAAAATAAAATATTTACTAAATCATATTTTGCACACTTATGATGATATGACCATTTTTATTGTTCAGTTATTTATAGAAAATACATATGTTTATGCACAACCTACGTTTAGGTTATACTTTGGTGGATTTTTTTATTACATTTTCACAAGATAAAAAAAAAAAACCAAGATTCATACAACAAATACTATTGTTGAATGTACTGAATAAAGGAATTATTGTAGAATGAGGTTGAGGTGGAGGCCAGTCTACAATGAGACAAGTGAGAAATGGGGAGTTCAGGATTCTTGAATACACAAATAAATGTTTAGGCAGTAGTGCTAGTTGTAGCTGAGCCATGATGTTCTCTCTGGTGAATATGTACCAACTTTTGTAGTGGTTTAGACACCATGCAGGATCTAGGAACTTAATATAATGAATTAATTTCAAGGTAGGTGTGAGTCATTGAAATCAGGTGGAAGAACTGCTAAGGGCAAGCAAGAGGTGCCAATCACAAATCGTAAAGATGTTCAAAACATCTTCCTATGTCTTATGAAATATGGGATAGATCAACAGACATAAGTACCAGGGTGCGCCCATCCCTTGAGAAAACTCCTGAAGAGTTGGAGAACTTTGCCTTAAACAACAGAGATTATATCACATCACCAGGATTTTAAGTCCATTTTCCTTGATCAGAAAGAGATGGTAAATTTAAAGTAATTTTTAATGGTATAATCCCATTCCTCTTGCATGAAGATCTCGTACCATGAGCATGGAAGATGCTCCTGTGGCTCTAGCTTTAGATTTGTAAGCCCTTTGTGGGGTCTAATATGTAATTTACAAAAGGCTAATATGTAAATGACAAAAGTCTCCGCCTATAGATTATGAGATGTAGGAGTATAAAAGAGATGTGTCAAATGTGGTCAACTGGCCGACAGTAGTGCAGTCATAAGTAGTCCACAAAAGAATGTCCTTGGTCTGTAGACAAGCCTACAGGAAAGGAGGGATTGTCTAAAATAGGCATGTGTGAAGAAGGCAGGCTATCAGAGTATCTATGGAAGAGGCATAGGGAGTAGGAAATATAGGACATTTTCAATTTAAGGTAGAACCTAATTGCCTGTACCAAACAGAGCAACACAGGGCTGATACACAATTTGTACAGAATTCCAATAGAAAAATATGAATAAATACAAAATATTTAGAAATTCTATTAATTTATCCCAGAAAATCACAACTGTCGAGTTCAGCAGATGTGGAAGAGACACAAATAGGTGTCGATGAAATTCATTAGCAAATCTTAGTTTACAAAATATTCCAACCAATGAAATACTTACACTGAATCTTCAGAGAAGAGAGGCTTGGACAGAATTCAACCATATAGTACTGTTCTAATCTTTCCAAACTTACTCTGTTTACTAGGTGAAATCTGCCTAACAGCTAACCAAGTTTTATTAATTGTTGTGATCTGGCAATGTTAAGATTTGTAGCTAATGAATTTCATCGACACCTATTTGTGTCTCTTCCACATCTGCTGAACTCGACAGTTGTGATTTTCTGGGATAAATTAATAGAATTTCTAAATGAATTTGCCACTACAATAGTTTTCTCGCCTCAACATTCTGGTGTCTCAACAATATGTACTGCAAAGTAACATTGTCCCCATATGTCAACACTATATTTTGCTTTCCCTGTACTCTGTATTTTTCCTGTCTATACACTAGTTAGAACTGTCAAAGAATTTTGAGAAGAATAAAGATTTCAGAGTCTTAATGGTAGTGTACTAGACCTAAGAAAATAATTGTAATAGAACAGGTTTAGCAAGGTTCCTTACTCCTTACACATGTTTTGAAGTAACATTGGAAATGCATACAAATTATATGAATAATATGTGCGTTGCTTTCTAGCTCCAAAAATAGCTGCGATCAATATGCAGCTGATTGCAGTCACTGCAGGCTCAATCGAAAATACATTATTAATTTCTACAGCTACTGCAATACATTAAGGAAACTCTCATGTGCTCTTTTTTTTTTTTTTTTTACACATCTTATCAGCAAATGTTTTATGTTGTGCACTCAAAATACATTTGCCTAAATAAGTCTCTCCCTTATGTAGAGAGAAGCATCTAATAAAATAAAAGGTTCGAACGATCGTGAATTACTGCTCACCTGGATAGCATTTATTGCAGGCGCTGAATACGTTCTATGAAGTACATCCATATTCTGAAGAAGCTGACTCATTTCCACTAAATAACTGTGACACTGGGAGAGTTCTGCATAAAGAATACAAAGAATTAGCATTGTATAAGACACCCAAGTTTTTTCCAGTGGCGTATTAACATAGGGGCTAATGGAGCTAAAGCTCCAGGACCATACCCAAAGGAACACTGAATAAAAAATAAATAAATAAATAAATATTTTAAATAAATATTTTGTTTGCTACTTTTCATATGCTCTTGCTTTGCGCCAAGGGAATTAAGAATGTGAACTTAGTTGTAAAGGAGAGTAAAAAATGTTGCATGGCCTGATTGACCATAAATCAGTTCAGATAAAGTTGACTTTGTGCACTGTGCACATGTTCTCTCTAACATGTGGCATGTCCCCTTAATTCTACACTCACTATATCCACCTTTTTCTCTGGGAGCTACTGCTTGCTAGTAAGGAGGGACGGAGAGGAGAGGACAAGTGAGTGCTGAATGACACCAGGGAACTGTCCCCAGAAATTTCAGAGCGAGCGCATCATTAGACGCATTCGAGCCAAGCTCAGAGTGCTGAAACAGTGCTGTCTGCAAATTTCAAAGGTGGTGTGTAAAGTATTAACAAACCTAACAGTGAGAGTTTGTGAATAGCCTTGTTATCGTAACATACTAATTACATCACTGAGCAGTTTGAAGATGAGTAGAGATTTCCCCTTTCAGCTTGTGCTGTGATATCCGATTCACACAATCCACCCTATTGTGAAAGGGTTTTGTTATAATTCACAACTATAGGTCACCAACAAATTGCTCACAGAGTAGACTTTGAATATTTCAATGAGTGCCAAATTCTAACGGTCTGCCTAAACTTCCAGCAAATTTTACAGTTCTTGTAATTACCCCCCAGTAAAATGCATAAGCACAGTCAACCGCATTTGAGTTTATGGTTATTTTAACTATCTGTAACAATTGGATCAATCACAGAAAACATTAAGAAAAAGTAGGTGTAGACTGCACATATTTCACAAAAGGTTTGTTTCTAAAGATCTAACTGTTAAGTTGCACATGAAATACAGCATTATATATAATTAGCCTGTCATATTAATCTAACTGCAGAGATTACAACGCTATATATAGGTTAAAATTACAGCAGTGTATAAAAATAAACATGAACAATAACATAATTGAAGAATTTAGGTAGGATATCTGCTGATATTTCACATATATTATTTACAGATTATACATATTATACAAAACATAAAATTGAGTGTAGCAATAAATACAGCTGTATTTATTTAACTCTATCCTAGAACTGAGTGGCTTCCTGTCCTTCTGAAGCATTAAAAAGCACCCCGTAAAATAGCCTATGTAACCATAAAGAACTCCCTTCCTCATTGAAACCTCAGACATAGCAGGAAACCAGAGGGCTGAGTGGGCAGGTGCTGTCTCTACAACCGCAAACCGTTCGTAAATGGTAAGATAGTGCTCAGGACCTCCTGACACCATAACAATGTCATTGAGATGAAATTGTTATAGTACCAGGAATGTCCCTTTAATGAGCTGGGGATAATCAACTAAGAAAATGGACATAAGTGGAATGGGAGGAAGCGAAACAAAATATCAATTTTTCTCTTTCCAATGCAATTGGTTCCCCGACTGTGTCAAGACTAAAATGGAATGATCTAGATTTACAAGAAAATGAAGCATCACATGGAGGAAAAAAATAATTATAATACAAGTTATTGATCAGGGATAGGCAACCATCGGCACTCCAGATGTTGTGGACTGCATCTCCCATAATGCTTTGCCAGCATTATAGCTGTAAGAGCATCATGGGAGATGAAGTCAAAATAATCTGTGTGCGGAAGGTTGCCTACCCCTGATATAGGTCATATGCAAAGTTATAATTTCCAGAGAAGTGATGGCATCCTTCTAAATCCAGTCCGACCGTGAGCAAACAGCATTAGATTTGAAGGGTTTTACGAATCTGTATCTCTGCCACTTTAAAAACTTGCTTTCTTTTAAAAGAAAGACTTCTGAAATAAACAATAAAAGTCGTTCATATTTAGCTAGTACTTCTCCTTTAAGACCAATAATAAAAATATAATTAGCACCACATTTAATACTGTATGAAAGTGAAAGATCATTACGTCAAGTCTACCTCTAGCACATTTTTCCATATCATCAGACGATTGGAGCCAGGCTGGTATCCTACTGTCATTTAAACGAGAGAATGGTAGACTGCCTCCCAGCTTCAATGAATTCTGTCTAATGAAATTAGTTTCCTGTAACATTAAGCAAGAAATACAACCATTACAGTAAATTCTAGCTTAAAAAGTAAATTGAAAAGTAAATTTCTGGAAAAGGGTTCACAAAAAAATAATAAAATACTGGTAATCAGAATTCATGGATAGTACAGTAATACACATCTGAGTATGAGCTGTTATGTATATTTTTTGAAGATCTCTATTTTCTTAATCTTTCCAAGTATGAAAACAGTATTTTCTAAACAAATACACCCATTTCACACACACACAGTCATCCGGTCACACTCACCCCCTTCCACTCTCCTACCCCCCAGACTCTCTCTGTCACACTCAAACCACACACACGCACAGCCATCCTGCCATAGCCACCCTGATACATATCGGCAATGTCCAAGCACACACAGTAAACCAGCACATACACCATGCAGTATCACCATAAACACAATGCACAGAAAGACAACAAGTAGCCCCTCCATACACATAACACACAGCAAGCAGCCACCCCACACACAAACTCCCAGACACAGAGATACACATGCTCACAAAGATACACTGACACATACAGACAACGATATGCATGGCAGACAGTCACATAGTTGCATGTATTTGTCTGTGCGTGTCCAAAGAGCCACCACGGCTACAATGTAAGGACCAGACAAGTCACTATGCCAGGTGCTTTAATCCAGCATACTGTAGACAGCATTTCACCAAACATTGGAAGCACTCCTGGGTCTTCATAAATTAAAACATAACTTTGAGAATGTTACATTTTGAGAAATGTTATTTATTCACAACACTGCTTGTAATGAAACTTAATTATAGGGGACACTTTTTTTTTTTTTTTTTAAAGACTTTTTTTTTTTTTTTTTTTATATCTATGTATATTGAAACAAATAAAAACAAAATTAAAAAAATACTTTACAGGGCACCCAAAATACTCTAGGTATGTGTTTAGATTTTTTCCTGGCAAACCACTTGGTAGTGAAAGGGTCACTGATGCGTACATTGAGTCATAATTCGGTCACTGGAACAGACCACTTTTTCCAGTTATGTTCACAAAAGCCATTATCTACATGATGTTCTGTTCCATGGAATACACAACACAGCTTTCATTTTAATTCTTTCACCAGTAAACATGGACTTTACCTGATGAGCTGTAATTGGATCAAAACTGGAAGAAGATTCAGTAGTAGAGAGCATTGGATAAAATTGAGTATTCAGATCGTGTGGAAATACCGATATTTCATTCTGCCGGAACAGGCGGTGATCACGTAGCTTCAGGATCCAATCCTCAAAATCTTCTGGCGGCTTAACCTACAAAATATGAATACAATGGCCAAGTGCTACGTTTTGTCATTTATAGTGCAAAGTCTAATCTGGCTAAGTATTTGAAATACAATTAAATATGCTTTTATTTATTTCTTACTTGGTCTTCTAAAACAATATTAATGGGATTTTGTCTGAGGACACTTGGGCCGTGACTATGATAAAGTCTTACTCTGAATCTTTATTTGTCTATTTGTCCAATGCCGCTCTCTAAAAATATACCACATCAATCAGGAGCGGGGGCACAGTGACTGTACCAAGCAGCAGGGCTGAAGAAAAAATGAAAACAAATTGTGAACTGTACATTCACTTCTACTTCATGCTGACATAATTGGTTTTATTTCAAGGTCCTGTGAAAAGAAAAACTCAATGTCTATTTGTGCCTCATTCAAAACATTGCATTATGTCATTTATAGTGAAACTGTGAAAGTAAACTTATAAATGCTTGTTTATGCCATGTTTTTTGAAATAATTAAGGGCACCACGCCATTTTTCACGTGTGGGTTCAAATCCTCAAGGAATTGACTAGAGCGTCAAGGTCAGTCCGTCATTGTGTAAAACAAGTTAGGCATCTATGAAAGCCTCTTCCAGACTAAAATCTAAATTCAGAATGTATTGTTCCAAAGCAAGAAACAGAAAAATATTGCAACCGGACTGTATTATTTTTACAAATAAAACCAGCCTCCATATATTCTGAAAATATGTCAAGAAGAGTGGCACAGCTTCATTTATTCTCTGTAAATATAAATTAAAGTAAGCAATAATACCTACAAATGAATTTTTATTTTTGATCCGATAAAAAGTTATATTGTAAAAAAATATATATATTTATTAATAACAGTCATAAACCAAAGAAAAGAAAACAATTTTTCCTTTTTTCATTACCCAACAAGTATGGCAAAATAAATAAAGGGACCAATACTACTATAGTGCGTTTGAAAGGTTTTGGCCTAATATGCTGTATTTTAAAGTTTTTGCCAAATTGTTTTCTGCAGAATGCTGCATCATAATACTGTCTCTTTGGCCATGCCCCCAAACTCCAGAAAAAAACCTTCCTTATCAAATGTATGTACACAGCTCAGCCACCGACCGTAGTGAATGATAAAGAAGACACCCAGGGAAGCATAATAGGGATATCACTTTCTGTATGTAGTTTATCTGACTGTCTGCAGCCAGGTTGTGAATTAAAAACCGCTCCATTAATCTCGTCAGTGGTCAAGATTGTCTGCATACATTTGATAATAAAGTATTTTTTGTAGGAGTGGTATGGCTAAGGAGGCAAGCATATAGTGCAAAAACATTTTTATTTTACAAAAACTATAAAATTGGAGCATGCAAAAAATACAGCATATTAGTGAGGCCAAAATCTATCAAATGCATTAAAGTTGTATTGGTACCCGGTGTGTCCCTTTAACTATGCTAGGGGAACACAAGAATTACACATGACCAATATTTTCATTAGTAGAGGTAGATGAACAATCAGTACACAAGTAGATGGGAGGAGGGGGGGATGCGGCTTTAGGTCTAACTGTTTGGAAAATTAAATACAAGTAAAAATTAAAGTGGGAAAAAAAAGGATGGAAACATGTTTTATAAAAAACATGGTATCACCTTAGGATGATGTTCCACTAGAGCAGGGGTTCCCAACCCGTGGTATGCGTACCCCCAGGGGTACAACTGAGTGCCCCTGGGGGTACGCCAACTTTAAAAAAAAAAAACAAACATCAGAAATGGCGGCGCTGCAGCCGCCTGGCACGGTTTGGGAACCTAAATGAACCTGGCAGGAAGGGTGGGGGGCCGTGAGCTCCGAGTGCCTGCCCCCAGAGTGTCTCAACGCCGCCTCCCTTACCTGCTCAGAACTGCCTCTGCCAGCATAACTCCACCCGCTTGATAACTGAGCTTAGCCTCTGCCAGAATAACTCCGCCCATTACAGGTGTAACCTCGCCCTGTCCGTGTAACCCAACCCCCTGTGTGCTAACACCCTCCTCTATAAGACATGCCTGTCTCCTAAATCCTATAAACCCCAGCCACCAGAAGCAACCCTCCTGCTCCCATAAGATAGGAAACTGAATGGTGGCTAAATATTTCACCTGTATTTGTGTTTTGGGTGTGTATGTATGTAGTGTTTGTATCTGTGGCAGGGCCGCCGTCAGGGCATGACAACCATGATGGCTGCCACGGGCCCGGCGGTCCTGGGGCGCCCGGAATGCTCTGGGCGTTCCGGGCCCCACATATATATATATAGTGATATACTTGCGGTCCTCTGGCTACCTGTTTGTTGTACAGGGGGCCCGCAGCACACACTCACTAACCTTCCCAGCAGCTCTCCTGTCTAAATCTTGCAAGTCCCGCGCCCATCAGAGCGTTGCCATTGATTACCATGACAACCCTCCGCGCAACACGCAGGCTGTGAGAGTTAGACAGGGGAGCTGCTGGGAGTGTGCTGTGAGTTTTGTAGCGTCAGTGAGGGTGTCCGTCAGTGTGTGTGTGTGTGTCGGTCAGAGTGTGTGTGTGTGTGTGTGTTGGTCAGTGTTTGTGTGGGTCAGTGTGTGTGTGTGTGTCGGTCAGTGTTGGTCAGTGTGTGCGTGTCTGTGTTGGTCAGTGTGTGTGTGTGTGTCTGTGTATGTCTGTCAGAGCCTGTGTGTCAAATCAGTGTGTATGTGTGGCTGAGCTGTAGTGGTTCTGGTGACTATAAGAATTGTATTTTTGACATTGAAAAATCAGGCTCCTAACTTTTTTTGCTGGCTCCTAGATTCCGAACAAATTTGTCAAGCCCTGGTTTATGTACCTGCATATGTCAGTGTGTGTATCTGTATGTCTGTACCTTTGAGTGTCATTGTTTGGATATGTGTATCTGCACTGTGAGAAGCATGGGGAGCCTGGGGCAGAATAGAGGCAGAGCGAGCCTGGGGCAGAATAGAGGCAGAGCGAGCCACGGGGAGCCTGGGGCAGAGGAGAAGAAGCACGGGGAGCCTGGGGCAGAGGAGGGAGAGCAGGGCGAGTCTGGGGCAGAGGAGGGAGAGCAGGGCGAGTCTGGGGCAGAGGAGGGAGAGCAGGGCGAGTCTGGGGCAGAGGAGGAAGAGCAGGGCGAGTCTGGGGCAGAGGAGGAAGAGCAGGGCGAGTCTGGGGCAGAGGAGAGCAGGGGCAGAGGAGAGCAGGGGCAGAGAAGAGCAGGGGCAGAGAAGAGCAGGGGCAGAGAAGAGCAGGGGCAGAGAAGAGCAGGGGCAGAGAAGAGCAGGGGCAGAGAAGAGCAGGGGCAGAAGACGAACAGAAGACGAATCTGGGGCAGTGGAGCAGCTGAGAGAGCCTGAGACAGATGTAGAGCAGGGAGAGCCTGGGGAAGATGTAGAGCAGGGGAAGCTTGGGGCACAAGAAAAGCAGGGGAGTCTGAGGCAAAGAAAGATGTCTACATTTTATATAATAGCAACTATATTAATAAACATTTTATGAATACAAGGGGTACAATTTATGGAAAAGGGACGCCAAGGGGTACTCAAGTGAAAAAGGTTGGGAACCACTGCACTAGAGGTTAGTTTCAAAGTATCTGACAAAGTCTTTGAGTAGTTACCTTCAGATGGTATATATGTTCTTCTGTATCAAGGTCAATGCACTTCGTTGTCTTCTTGACGGAAACCACAGACAGACCAACATCAATGCAGCCATGTAACTTTCCTTTCTCCATCTTTAGGAAAGATAAAACAGATTATCATTAATGATAATAATTCTATTAAAACTTTAATTAGGACAAGGAAGGAACCAATTGGTGAAGCTTAGTTTTGACTACATCCTTACGTCGAGTCCAGCTCTCCCTACTTTTTCTCGTACCCTACATATTTTTGTACAGACTCATCTTTTATGCAATTTATACTCTGCATAAAGCCTTTCTACATATACATTTTTTATTTAATGTTAGGATCTAGGACACCTTACATATCACAGTCTACAGTGAAAATATGACCTTGACTGGCTTCTCATTTGATGATTCCATGGCTTTCTAAACTATCTTGGAACCTAGGTTTTTCAATAGTGCAGGGGGTTTAATAAGAATGCCACCTATATTGATCCAGTAATACATTTTCTGGAAGTAAAGATTTTTTTTAAATTTTAAAAACACTCTTTAGAATTTATTGTTAATGTTAAAACAACAATAAAAACATACAGAAAGTTTAATATTTGCCATGATTTATAGAGGTGGTTTGCAAGTTACACAGGCTGAAAAGAGACGTGTCCATCAAGTTCAGCCTTTCCCAGATCTGTTTTTTGCTGTTGATCAAAAAGAAGGCAAAACCCTCCCCTCCCCCCCCCCAGTTTGAAGAACTTCCAATTTTGAAACAAACTAGGAAAAAAATTCCCTCTTGACCCCAGAATGGTTTCAAAAAGTTCACATAGTCAAATAATGTTTCTCAATTAAAGGACCACTATAGTGCCAGGAAAACATAGCTTATATATTCAAATGGCCGTTAGAATAAAACCAAAGAGCCTCCATTTCTGTTTAAACGCACATGGGGATTTAGGCCAGAGCACAGGTAACGTTTTCTTTGTTTTTACTATGTATTTTAAGCTGTTGGATACTAAGTCACTGCTGCTGTAAGCGCGGTGCTTTATCTTTGTGTTTGTATATGAATTTTGTATCACTCAGCTATGTTACATTGCTGCCAGCCTTCCCACGTTTGTCTTATTAAGACTCTATAAGTATGTAGGGGCAGCACCCCTTCCTGTCTCATCAGAGAAATTTGCCTTTTAGCTGATACCAGCAAGGTGATTTGTACGTTATAGCCCTATTTAGGGTAAAGTATGTAGGGGTTTATAAAACACCCTTTCATGTCTCATTAGAGACTTCTACACTTTGTCTGATACCAGCAAAGTTTATTGAATGTGTAGAAGCCCTATAAAGGGTTAAATGTTAAAGGGTTTATAAAACACCCCTTTCTGTCTCACTTTGTCTGATATCAGCAAAGTTTATTGTATGTGCAGAAGCCCTATAAAGGGTTAAATGTTAAAGGGTTTATAAAATACCCCTTCCTGTCTCACTGGAGACTCATGGCTGATATCGGCATATCTAATGGCTAGTGTAGGAACTCACCTATTGAGGCTTGCCTTGACGTGGCAGGTGAGCTTATATCTTCAAATGGCCATTAGAATAAAACCAAAGAGCCTCCATTTCTGTTTAAACGCACATGGGGATTTAGGCCAGAGCGCAGGTAACGTTTTCTTTGTTTATACTCGTTTTCCTGGCACTATAGTGCCCTGAGGGTGCCCCCACCCTCAAGGTCCACCTCCCGCCAGGCTAGATGGAGAGGAAGGGGTTAAACTTACCTCTTTCTCCAGCGCCGGGCGGGGAGCTCTCCTCCTCTCCTCTGCCTCCTCTTCGGCTGAATGCGCATGCGCGGCAAGAGCTGCGCGCGCATTCAGCCAGTCTCATAGGAAAGCATTATTAATGCTTTCCTATGGACGCTGGCGTCTTCTCACTGTGATTTTCACAGTGAGAAGCACGCAAGCGCCTCTAGCGGCTGTCAAGAGACAGCCACTGGAGGCTGGATTAGCCCTAACATAAACATAGCAGTTTTTCTGAAACTGCTATGTTTATAGAAAAAAGGGTTAACCATAGCTGGACTTGGCACCCAGACCACTTCATTAAGCTGAAGTGGTCTGGGTGCCTATAGTGGTCCTTTAACTACATCGCTCTTTTTCCTGATGGAATAATTAGCATGCAGCTTGCAGTAAATACATATAGAGTTATTCACTAAAACAAGAATTCAAAGTGAATTTCAAATGTACTCTAAGGTCAGAATAGTCAAATTGGAAAAATTCTCTTAGTCAGCTATGTTTCAGTTCGGCTGCTCTGGCCTGAATTTATTCCTGGCCCTATATTTTCAAAGATGCTTATGTCTGGCTGAACTACATAGTAAGCAAAACACCTAGACCTCACTGACATACTGTATACAATGACCTCTGATAAATGTATTTAAATGCACTATTACAAAGCAATATTCCCTTAGCTTTGGTGGAATATCAGAGTCTGTAAACTGTGAGAAGATTTGTGCCAAACAAGGCAGCATTGGATTGCCATTGAGAAACACATCCCATATTGGGATAATTATAGCTGATCCAACATGTCATAGTTTGAAGGAAGTGAAAATTGCTTTTGCGTGATGAAGAAAGAAAGAAAAAAAATAATGTTTCTTACGCTCTTACTGAAACAGCCTGATTTTGTGTCGCTTGATAACAGCTGTGTATCATTAATGAAAATATTCCCTTCTATATTTACACCATAAGCCATGTCCCTTAAAGGCAAACCACTCCGTGTTTATAAAACCCAAATTTTTTATTTTTTTTTAGACTTGAGTAATTTTCTATTGTTTAAAGTTTGCGTTAGTTTTAGTTCTGTGAGAAAATATTTAGTTTTAAAAATAGTATTTTAATATTTTCTTTATTTGTGCTTAATGCTGATTTTTTTTATAACCGTAATTTAAAATAAAAAAAGAATATTAATTTATTTTATTTTTTAAACCCTCCCCCCCCAAAAAAAACGAGTGTGGGTTCGGAGATTTGGATAAAATACGTACTATAGAATAAAATTTAAACTTTTGTTTGCCTTAATGAACAAGTCAGAATACCACCAATTCATTTCATCGCACCAACCCACACATATAACCACAAATTCAAGGATCACAATACATTGCAAAGCCCTGTGACTTACATTTCCATTTCACATACTGGGGGATTTTATTTATAGGGATAATATAGGCATTAAAATATCTTTATCTTAATGAAGCAGTTTTGGTGTATAGAGCATGCCCATGCAGACCATATGCTCAATCCTTTGGCATTTTGGAGTTAAATCACTTTTGTTTCTGTGTTTGCAGCCCTAGCCACACCTCCCTGGCTGTGCTCATACAGCCTGCATGAAAAAAATGGTTCCATTTTCAATCAGTTGTAACTTACTTTAAAGGTTTCTATCTCCTGCTTTGTAAATTGAACTTTAATTACATACAGGAGTCTTCTGCAGGGTCTAGCAGGCCATTAACAGAGCAGCATATATGAAATTCTAAATTAAACATAGTTTGCAATAAAGGAAGTATAAACATTAGATCTAACTTTACAGGAAGTGTTTAGCAAGGCTGTGCAAGTCACATGCAGGGAGGTGTGCCTAGGGCAGTATAAAGAAAAGGGATTTAACTCCTACATAACAGAGAATTCAACAGAGTGCAGAGGCATGGTTTATACGCCAAAACGGCTTCATTGAGCTAAAGCTAATTGGGTGACTATAGTGTCCATTTAATATAAAATTAAAGCAGTATTTCAATTTCACAAGGCAAAATATAAAGTAAAATGTAATCAAAATGAAACTTACTTCAGTAGGACCCTTGGCATACTTCAAAATTCCTTTTTCCAAAATGAAATATCTCTGTTACAAAAAGAAGACCAAAAAAGAAATCAGTCATTGGATCTCTAGTTAGTTGTCCAGGATCAAAAACCAACCAGAATGTGGGGATAATCCAAACTAAATAAGGATTGGTATTAGGGAGCACTCCCCATAATTTAAATTCCTGTTATTTTTCACTAGCTATGTGCCTGGAGTATCATCATGTTAATTCTCTTTTATCCTAACTTTAACAACAAATATCTGTGTTCAGCGAGTACTGTGAACGCATTAAAAACCCCAAGTGTAATTAAGGTAGATAAATATATAAATAACTATATGTTTTAACGCTGGCCATGACTTGTGGCTAAGATGGCTTTCAAGGTATTTATTAATTGTAGCTTAATAACTATTGAAATGCATGAAAGAGATTCAGGTTTCCAGTTTCACTTTTTACCTAAAATTGAATAACAGGGTTGTCGCATTAAACAATTAACAATAAGGCAGCGTGTGCAAATCTACTCTAACCCTCAGGAATTCTCATATCTGGAACAATAGTGGACAAGTGGTCCAGAGTCCTTCCTAAACTCCTCTCCTTGAGGATGCAATCTTCATATAGAAGTAAGAAAGGGTTGAAACCTGGGCAAGACAGACTAACAGTAAAGAGGTGTATAGATCCACAGTCTGTAAAATGCATCCCCCAAAAAGGAAGAAAAATGTACTTAAATATTTGGTAAGTCTGTTCTCTCCTAAACAGGGATTGGGTGCAGATCTCTGGTGCATGTACATCACATGCCAAGTCCTGGTTTGCAACAATTGCTATGAGCAGATATGTATCCATGTATAAAATGTGAATAACCAGTTGAAGAATGGAAATATGCACTCCAAGCCTCAAAAGTCCAATAAAATGTCCAGGAATAAGTCAGTAAACAAGCACCAACTGACATGTTTTCCAGGGATGGGAAAGTCTGCTCTTATACAGACCAGATGTCACTAGTAAAGTCCTAAAAATAAAATAATATAATAACACCCCCAAATAAGCAAAGATAAGATGAAAACATTTGCACCAAATAATAGTCACATGTTTTTAATCACTTCAGAGCAGGATTAACCATAAAGTGACATTAGGTGGCTGAACATGGCCTAGGGTATAGACAGGGTCCCAGAACCAAGATTTTGCTACTCCCCATTTACCATCCAGGCACCAGAGCAAGTGCCACCACACGTTCACAAGAAGCCAAAGCGAGGCTGTCAGAGGCTCCTCCCACTTACGGTTGGCCCATGGGGAGATCAAAGATAACGGGGGTGGGAGGAAGAACTTGGGCTGAATCACGTTCTCCATCCTCCTCCAGTATCAGAGCATTGATGCAGGTTACCAGTGAAACATTCTGATATTTTCTGCAAAAGGCCAGAAAGAGCTGTCTGCACCCACTGGGTTTACAGACAAAGCAGCACATCTCCCATCAAGGAACACCATTCCCCCCTTCCTAGCTGGAAGGTATAATAAACGTTCATTTTTTTTCTTCAGCCCTTATTCCCCCAACTGCAGCTCATATGCTCTACTAAAGCCTCTATTCCCCCAATTGCAGACCAGATACTACTAGTAAAGTACCTAACCCCTCCCACTACAGCCCTTATAACCCTTCTACAGCTTCTAACCCTCCACAACAATCTCTAACCCCTCCCACTACAGCCCTTATAACCCTACTACAGCTCCTAACCCTCCACAACAATCTCCAACCCCTCCCACTACAGCCCTTATAACCCTACAACTGCTCCTAACCCTCCACAACAATCTCTAACCCCTCCCACTACCGCCCTTATAACCCTACTACAGCTCCTAACCCTCCACAACAATCTCTAACCCCTCCCACTACAGCCCTTATAACCCTACTACAGCTCCTAACCCTCCCAACAATCTCTAACCCCTCCCACTACAGCCCTTATAACCCTACTACAGCTCCTAACCCTCCACACCTCCACAATCTCTAACAGCCCTCCTACAGCTCCTATATCGCTACTCTCCTACCCTCCACACAACTAGCCTCCCACACTACTGCTCCTAACCCTCCACAACAATCTCTAACCCCTCCCACTACAGCCCTTATAACCCTACCAGCTCCTAACCTCCACAACAATCTCTAACCCCTCCCACTACAGCCCTTATAACCCTACTACTGCTCCTAACCCTCCACAACAATCTCTAATCCCTCCCACTACAGCCTTTATAACCCTACTACTGCTCATAACCCTCCACAACAATCTCTAATCCCTCCCACTACAGCCCTTATAACCCTACAGCTCCTAACCCTCCACAACAATCTCTAACCCCTCCCACTACAGCCCTTATAACCCTACTACAGCTCCTAACCCTCCACAACAATCTCTAATCCCTCCCACTACAGCCCTTATAACCCTACTACTGCTCCTAACCCTCCACAACAATCTCTAACCCCTCCCACTACAGCCCTTATAACCCTACAGCTCCTAACCCTCCACAACAATCTCTAACCCCTCCCACTACAGCCCTTATAATCCTACTACAGCTCCTAACCCTCCACAATCTCTAACCCCTCCCACTATATCCCCTATAACCCTACTACTGCTCCTAACCCTCCACAACAATCTCTAACCCCTCCAACTACAGCCCTTATAATCCTACTACAGCTCCTAACCCTCCACAACAATATCTAACCCCTCCCACTACAGCCCTTATAACCCTACTACAGCTCCTTACCCTCCACAACAATCTCAAACCCCTCCCACTACAGCCCTTATAACCCTACTACAGCTTCTAACCCTCCACAACAATCTCTAACCCCTCCCACTATATCCCCTATAACCCTACTACTGCTCCTAACCCTCCCCAACAATCTCTAACCCCTCCCACTACAGTCCTTATAACCCTACTACTGCTCCTAACCCTCCCCAACAATCTCTAACCCCTCCCACTACAGTCCTTATAACCCTACTACTGCTCCTAACCCTCCACAACAATCTCTAACCCCTCCCACTACAGTCCTTATAACCCTACAGCTCCTAACCCTCCACAACAATCTCTAAACCCTCCCACTATATCCCCTATAACTCTACTACAGCTTCTAACCCTCCACAACAATCTCTAACCCCTCCCACTACAGCCCTTATAACCCTTCTACAGCTCCTAACCCTCCACAACAATCTCTAACCCCTCCCACTACAGTCCTTATAACCCTACAGCTCCTAACCCTCCACAACAATCTCTAACCCCTCCCACTATATCCCCTATAACCCTACTACAGCTTCTAACCCTCCACAACAATCTCTAACCCCTCCCACTACAGCCCTTATAACCCTTCTACAGCTCCTAACGCCGCACTACATCCCTTACCCACATCACGCTGACTTGCAGCCCTTCTCATCTACTACTGTTATGGATGTAAATTAGTGATAGTAAAATGTCTATTTACTATGTGCATCTGTGCCTTTATTAACTGCTCAAAATGGCTGCTAGAGCACTCCTCCCATCGACTAAAGAATGGAAAGAATGTCATGTATTAAGATGGCATCTCCGTCTAAAGTGCTACACCCAGGATGATGATAACGTCACACCCTGGAGAAGGTACAGTAGATAAGACACTTAGCATTTACCAATTAAAAACATACTTTCCATGTTATCTCATGTTTTGCATATGATGTATTTCTGCCTTTATAAGGGGCTCCCCGCCAGCCTGATTAAACATTCCGAAGTTTTTCATCAATCTGAAACTTGTGTCTCAGTGTGATTTACTTCAGAGCGTGCACGCTTTCTATTTTAAGGAGCAGATAGTCAGATAAACAAATACTTGGTTTGATCCACAACACTACAGTCCCTAACACCCTTTTAAACGCCATACCCCTTACAACAGCCCCTATCCACTACGACCGCCCCTAACCCTCCCACTACAGCCTCTATCCCCCCCTTACCAACTACAGCCCCTATCACCTCCCTACAGCCCACTACCAGTGCCTCTCCTCCCTAGATTAGATTCTTGATCCGCCCCTGTTACCATCCCTATGTGAAGTTTAAAGGACAGGCCCTAAACCAGTAACCAGCAAAGGCTCCTGCAAGATCTTAATCCTTCTCTGAATCACATACCTGTAGAACAGATGCACATACCTTATGCCAGCCTTTAAGTGGCCACTTTCTCTTTTTAAGCAGGAAGCCCTCTTGTTTTTGTGGTTCCTGAGGACAGCTTGTACTGCCACGGAGGCCTTCGACAATTTCCCAGCTATCCTGTTCAAACAAAACAAAAAAACTGAATTACTTTAGGCAATAAACAATCAAAACAATGTTACAAAGCACCCTCAATCAGTTATAAACTAATACAGCTACTTGCATATCTCTGGGTGATATGTACAGTCTCTATGACAGCTCTGCTACAGGGTTAGACTTGTACAGATGGTAGCACAGATTATTCAACATTTTGCAGTAATGATTAGAGTTCAGACTATTGAAACATGAATAAACTGTTGGCGTATAGGTAAGGTAACCATATGATATCTCCTCTAATTAGACACACTTACAAAGGATACATCCTGCAGGGAAGCAACAGTTTTAATTTAGCTTTGAAGATTTTCCACAAGTGTCGGCTAACGAGATCGCTTATGTAAGTGGGTGGACTATATTTTTTAAACTATTAATTTTTTGAGTATAGCAGAGTAAGAGCAGCATTAAGCATTGTGCTATATGATTTTAAGGTTAATGTGAAATACTATCCAAAGAGAAACCTAAATTTTAAGACTGTACTTTCATTGAGAACTTTTACAAAATTACAGAACTATAGATCTTTCCCTCTACTATAAAAAAAACTTCTGCAATGCAGCAAAAGAAAAATGAGCAATTCTAGGTCTTGAGTTAACACATGTGCAGACTCCAACAATGGATACAATGCAGCATTCAGTGCTGTAAAAAACTGTATTTTAATTCAATATAAAGGAGCACTAACTCCAACGTGTATTTCTAAGGTTAGATTTTTCTCCGGCATATTTAGATTAACGGGCTCCCCTGTAACCATTAAACACGTCCCTTTAATCATCACTTGACAATGTGTTTCTAATTTTTATTTATTTGTTTTATTGGTTTTGGTTTTTTAAACCAGCAAACTGTTTTACACAAGGATATAAGCTAAATTAAGGTAAGAAAAATGTAAAAAGTATGTAAAAATCCAAATTATCTAAAAGATACATTAAACATTATACAAACACTACAGCACATTAAATGGGAATCCAACTATATCCTAGTAACGGCTGATGTTGGTTCCCTTTACACCATTATTTCACATACGAAAGGGCTAGAAGCAGTAGAATTTTTTCTTAAACAGGATAACACTTATCCAGAAGAACAAATAAGTTTTATTATGGAAGGAATAGATCTTATCCTTCATAATAATTATTTTTGGTTCAACAATGAATTCTTTCTACAGAAAGTCGGTACCACTATGGGGACAAGGTTCGCTCCGAGCTACGCAAATCTATTCATGGCCTACTGGGAAACACAATTTATAGACAATAATTTAGAGTGGGGAGCGAGCCTTGTCTCCTATAAGCGGTACATAGACGATATTTTTTTAATCTGGAACGGTTCAGTGGATCTTTTAAAAACATTTTTAACCTCTCTAAACACAAATGATTGGGGAGTGACATTAACCACAGAATACAGTAAAGAAAGTGTCAATTTTTTAGACTTAACTATTTTTATAGAAGACAACAGTATTAAGACCAAAACTTTTTTTAAACCGGTAGATGTAAATAATTACATCTACCTAAACAGTTGCCATTTTTCTCCTTGGTTAAAAAATATACCTAAAGCACAACTTATGAGAGTTCGTAGAAACTGCACTGATCAAAGCACTTTTGAAATACAGGCCATTAAAATTAAACAAGATTTCATGGAAAAAGGGTATGAAGAAACCTCTCTCATAAATACTATTGAAGAAGTTAAAACCATGGAAAGAACCTCATTGCTAAAATATAAACCAAAAAGCATCAATACGAACATGAATTTGCCATTTATTTGCAATTTTAATCAAGAAAGCCATAAAATTAAACAAATAATAAACAAACATTGGCCTATGCTAAGAAACGATCCTATGCTACACTCTATATTACCAGAGAGACCGAAATTAGTATATAGAGGAGCTCCTAACCTAAAACAAAAATTGACACATAATCATATTAAAGAAAATACACCCACCCCCTTCTTTCAGAAAGAAGGTTTTTTTTGGTTGTGGACAGTGTCTAGCTTGTAGAAGCACAAAAAGCACAAAAAGGCACATTACAGAATTCTATGACCCAAAAGGGGAGAAGAAATATAAGATACGCCAAATGATTACATGTTTTTCCAAGAGGGTTATATACGTTTTAAAGTGTTCTTGCAATTTATTCTATGTTGGTAGAACGAAACGCCCCCTACAAACATGAATAAATGAACACATTAGAAACATCAGAAAAGGATACGACAAACACAGTGTTTCAGAACATTTTAGCCTAGTGCATAATAAAGACCCACAATTTCTAGATTTTATGGCCATCCAGAAAATTACACTCAACTGGAGAGGGGAAGATGAAATTAAAAAATTGGGAAAAATCGAAACAAAATGGATCTTCAATCTCAATACTCTAGCACCTATGGGGTTAAATGCTGACTTTGAGTTATGTCACTTTTTATAAAATACACTGCTTTTTACTGGGTCTGCTATTCTGCATGTTTTTATAAAAGAGTTATTACTACTCTAAATAACATACAAGCAAGTGTACTCATTTCATATGAATTCTTTATGTTTTTGATAATAAGAAAAAATAGCAGTTGAAATCATATGTTTATATAAATAGAGTTTCATCATAATGCACTTTTAAAACACAAGTCACTTTTCCTTCTTATTCTCTGTTTATTTTCAAGATTTGCATGCTTTGCACATAATTGTATATAAAGGAATTAATAAGCTTAAATATATTTGCTTGTTCATATACAATGTGTAAAAAGAACAGCACATTACAACCTTTAATTATGTATGTCTTTTTATTCTATTCTAAACTGTGTATGAGCCTAAGGAGGCTCAAATATAGACTGATTAATCCTCCCATTGCGGACTAAGTCCCCTGTGACAGACCGGACGAAAACCGGAAGTGCCGCGCTGAGCGCAAAGCACTATGGACTCTGTAGTGCCGAAAACCCGGAAGTGACGCGACGGCTTTTTAGCCGCATCACGTGACGCAAGGACTCACACGATTGGAGGACGACTTTTTCGGCGGGATTTTGAACGCTCAAAACAGAGGACACCCAGAGGAAACCCACAAGCTGACTGAGGAAGCCGTTTTTACCGGCGAAACGCGTTTTGGCTTTTAAAGTGGACTCATCATTTTTCCTAAACCACTAAATACTTGCAATACTTTGTTCTTATTTATTTTTTATTTTCTAGAAATTTTTATATTGATTCTATATACTCTGTAATAAATTTTCTTCATTTTAAACAATCCACTGTATCCAGTACCAGTGATTCCAGGGAAGGGGCAGTGTCACCCCACAAATTGACACTAGGCCTATATACTTAGAGCCAGTTACCAAAAGGCTCTAAATAAGGTGAGCACTTTAATTTATTATTTAAGTGTATGAAAATATTACAAAGGATGCTACACTTAGTTGGATAATTCTGTGTCTTTTATATACGTTGGGGAGAGGAAAATACACACTTAACCTGGAGAGAGGGGTCGTGTGATCTACCCTTAAAGACACAGACGCACGGAAGTTTAGAGCCTAATTCACTTGAAAAGGCTCTAAAAAATGTGAGTGTAGATATATCTGTTACTCACTAAACTCTTTACCAAAGTATTAGATATACTGCACAATTATCTGTATATATTTTTGTTTTCTTTTGTATGTATATTACATTGGAGAATATCAAGGATAATTGTCTTAGAATCACAGGTAATTCACTGTGTTTTCACATATTATACAGCGCTGCACTCTTAAAGATAGAAGACCTAAGGGGTGGTAACACCCATTAAGTCTGAAATCTTTTTTGTCTCTTGGTGTTTATCTTTGTATGGTGGGTTTTTAGGAGTACCCATAGAGTGTATACAGCAGCTATACTACACTGTTCATATTTACCACTCAGCGCCACATATTCCACACCTATTGTTAATATATTTAATCTGTTTGAGATATACCCCCAATGAAAAAAAATGCATAATTAAATGTGTGCATTAGTCTATTGGGTACACATAAATAACAAGGTAAACCGCGGTTTTAAGTTGGCCGCCGCCAGCAAAAGGGCGGGAGGAAGCGCGTCAGGTAATTGCAGGCGCGAGAAGGTGGGATCTGAGAAAGGGCGCAAAATTGAGCCGCGGACTCCTGGGAATTGGGAATGAGAATTGAGAGGAAACCGCGGCCACAAATGTAATAAAATCGCGGAGGCAAACCCCGCCGATTTTTAAAGGGGAACAATGGAGATAAAGTTTAAAAACTGTTCAGAGACATAAATAAACCAACATGTTAGGTATAATTATATGTAGTAAGGGTATTGTGTACTGACAATAAATTGTGTGAGAAACTAGTGAAAATGAATGTTTGATAAACAAAACATTACCACAGAAAATTATTTAAAAATGATAATAGAGATACGGGTGCTATAAAATTTAACAAATTAATGAGAAAATTAGTTCAAATATTGCATTAAAGGCAAAAACCCCTAAGGCAATATAATTGGAGCAGACTCACCTGGGTGGCAAGCAGCAAAGAAAGAGGACTTGGGAGGAGTTTGATGACATCATATAATACTGTTATACACTCTGATTGGTTGAATTGTTTTTACACTATTGTTAACTATTTCTTTGCTGCTGGGAGGTTCAGTAAAGAAAGATAAGCAAATATGAAGCCTCCTGTCTTGCCATAAAATTCGCCTTGTGCCAGTCTCTCTGCAGCCACCCCTCCTACCCTGGCAGAAAGCAATATTACTTTTCTCAGCCAGCACAAAAATTCTGGGCTGGGGAACAAAGGGAGGGCTTACAAAGGCTCCAGACAAAAGATCTGCAGCTTCTGCAAGCTGTTTGAGATATACCCCCAATGAAAAAAATGCATAATTAAATGTGTGCATTAGTCTATTGGGTACATCTACTAAACAGTGTTTTTTTATTTTATTTTGGGAGTGGAGGGGTATTTTGAAGAGTTAAGTGAAATAATGATACACGACGACAGATCAGCTTTAAAAGTATTGACTTCCTAGTAAGAATTACAGAACTCTGAACTTTTTACGAACATGGAATTAAATAAAATCTCATAAGCAAAAAGACAAAAAAAATAATAAAATTAGCGCTCTGTACGGTTTCTAAACAGTTAGTGTTTCAGAGTAATAATTGTATCATTATCATTTCTTTCCAGGTCGGTACACTCATGTGTATATGACCAGAGATTGGGTAATGAGAAATTATGTCATAAGCAACGTATTAACATTGTAATATAAGGCCAGTGGCATAGCTAATGCAATATATCAAGAACGTCCAAACCACGGAATTAACTAGGGCATTCATATATCCATTGTAGCTGCAATTCCACTACCATAAAACAGCACTCTAAACACCATAAATATTACAGCTTATTGTGGTGGTTATGGTGCAAGGAATCTTTGGTCTCCCCACTTTTTAACGAACTATGGTTTGCCAAAAATAAGACTTTCCCAGCAACCAAAGCCAGGCTATCACTCAGATAATGGTGAAGTTTCACTTTTATATTATCTGTAAAAAGCTGACAAATCTGAAATGGCAAGGATACACTTAGTGAAGATGGCAGCCTATACTAGCGCTCAAGCACATACATCATAGTCATCCATGGTTGGTTAAAATCAATTATAGCCACAATTTCAATATTTACAGCAGCAACTCTCGCATGAAGGTCATTGGTGCAATAAGTATTGGCTATTAACAAGGTTTTTATTTGATTACGATATTCAATTCTGTGTTTTGTACACAGTACTGATTAAGAAATATATATCAGAGGAGTAAAATCGCTTTGACCTCACCCATGGGTGAGCTGGGGTGAAGACACAGAAATCTGTTTTGAGTTTAGTTCCCAGTAGAGATGATGGATTTCTGTAAGCAATCTGGTGTTTCACATGTAGTATTTCTAGACATGTATTCCTGGTGGAGATAGAAGGTGTTTATCATTTTTTAAATTATATATATATATATTTCTAGTTTTAAACAGTAACTATGCCATTAAAAAGGACAAATTATTTTTTATTTTTATTAAAAAAAATAATAAATCTAAAACTAATCAATGGAGAAAAGTTGCCTACATATTTTAATGATTTATTTTGTTTATCATCAGTACATGTGTACTAGTGTTAAAGGGTTACTCAAACTACCATTACCATTTCTCGTTTTAGAAGTGGTCATGGTGGTAAGAGTCTGCACAATCTGCACTTATGTGCTGAGGACTAGTTAAAACCCCAGAAAACAGCTGTGGTGGCCTGAAAAACTGTATATACAATATTACGTTTGCCATCAGCAGGCACTGGTGTCAAGTGTAAATCTTCTCTTGGGCAAGTGGTCTGCAATGGGAAGATTTATGTCCCCCCCAACCACCTCTCTTCCACTGTGTGGTCCTACCAGGCGCCCACCTGTAAATAAATCAATAGATATTTATATATTTATTTATTTATTTTTAAACACTCCCCACACTCCAACTGCATGATGTTGACTGATGTTGACTGGGGAGTGGAGATAAGCCCCTGGAGCTTTGCCCTGCACTGGATTACAGATAAATTGTATAGTATTTTTTACAGGTTTTGAAGAAAATGGCTAGGGGTACATTAGTAATGCACCATAGAGCATTGTTAAACAGAAACTGTTCCGTTAAAAAAAAAAGTGTTGGAGTAACCTTATAATTATGTGTTCTACCTGTATTTACCAGTACGTACCTAAAAAAATCTTCCTGTTTATATTACATACATAAACACACACACAAATATACATATATATATTTAAATGATAAACATCGTATATACTATTATTTTAATATGTGTGTGTGTATATATACACGTGTGTGTGTGTATATATATATATATACATACACATACACACACACACACATATATGTACATATACACACATTTATTAATAGAATACCGGTATAATTTTTTATTTTTTTTTATAAAAGTAACTGTGCCATTAAAAAGTACAAAAATAAACACACACACACACACACACACAGTTTGTCCTTTACATTTCTCACCCTTCCTTACGGCTAAGATTGCATTCTTTAATAAAAAATAAAAACATTAAAAAGCTGGCCTATACAGTATAAACACTTCCCTTTAAATGCTCCTAAGATGAGTATGTTTATTATAATTACTTTTTTTTTGTTCTTTAACACTATGGAATTCAAATTATAAGAGCAGGATTTCTACCTGCATTTTCTATTACAAATACCTCCAAGTCATAAATTATAAATAAACAAGATGCTGAAAAAAAATGTGTTCATGATCAGAACATAACAGAAAATTAAAACATTTAGAATTATGCCATGTTTTAGGTTGTTTTTTTTCTTTTTTTCCCCAGTTACAGTGTGAGAGCGAGTTTGTTAGAGAATTTAAGCACCAAATCACTCCATCTTGATAAATTGACTTTGGGAAATAGAGGATGCCCCTGTCGTCTTGTTAGTGAAGACAATGCCATTTTTGAGAAATGACGTTACATTTTGAAATCTCAATACTCCTAACTGCTGTCACACAGACCACCTCTAGAGGCTTCAGACTAAAATATATTCAATGACGGATTCTATTTTATGTCCGGTGTCCTATATAATATTATTTTCATAAAAATTTAAAAGAAAATGTACATTAATGAACTGTAAAAAAATGAGTTCATACAATTTTACCCTATATTAAAACAAGCATAATCTTTAAGCATATTATTTGACTTTAATGACTGCCTGGAGGACCACTTGCCTCTATAAAAGACATCTGCCTACTCTCACGCACACACACACACAGATGATGGCTTCTGGCTTTCAAACCTAAGCCGAGAGCACAGGTGGAATCTGACATACAGTAATTAGACTGTTACTGGGCAGTGAGCTGTGGAAGGTGACAGTCACTGTAAGAAGTCAATGCTGTTGCTTAGAGCGCTATGTATATATCGAACCTGCTGTCAATAAATGGTAATTTGTTAGTTTGGCCATTATTGCAGAGCAGCTTTGGGCCTTAAATGAATTATTAAGCAATAGAGATCAAAGCTCATGATACCACAAAAGATTCCATTGTCTAATTTTACTATCAAGATCAGTAAAACATGAAGAGAAGACTATTAACACATGCAGAGAGGTGAGCAACCTTCATATGGTTCCACTGTTAATTACATACATCCAGCCTTTCAGAATTATCCCAGCACCAACATTAAACCATGCAGTTTTCAAAAATTTCTAAATTCTATATCACTAGGTAGTCTTATTAGTAGGATAGATAAACTCTTAATATGTTTTGTTTGTCTTACCTTCTTAAAGTGAAATATACGATCTTAAAAAAGTATACCAGATTTTTGGGGAGAGAATTCACCCCACCCCCAGTGCTTGCACCCATGTTTACAAACCCCATGTAATAGTCAAAATAACCTTTTCAACTTTTTGCTTTGGTAGTGGCATAAATATATAGAATTTCTCCCACCACATGGATCCTGTTTTTGGCACTGTGGCAAACATACATGACAGAAAAGGGGAAAAAAAGGATTTATTTTTTTTTACTGATATTTTTAGTGTGCGTAATTTCAATGGACGTGGTATTATACAGATAATATACAGATTATATTATGTTACCTAGTTCTGTTTATAGATACATGGCTCTAGGCAAAGGAAGTTGCTATACATACAAATAAATGCATTCCCAAATCAGTAATGTAAAAGTCAAATGAGAAATAGTTGTAATGGGAAGCAAAGTTTGGAATTACACAGCAAAGTGACTGCGGGCCTTGGTAATCATCATAGAACAGACACACTAAAAGCAGCCACATTCAGGGAGAATTGTACATTAAGGAATAAATATTGCCTCGTCATTATCCCAGATACTCAGTAGTGCCCCCTAATGGCAAATCCCAAAATTTCCCTTTAATACAGACCATTCCACAACGCCTTTCTCCTTTTCTCCAGTGTTAAATCGTTTGTGTCCTCATGCTATCAATGCTAGTGAATGCACAGCAGGTTAGACGAGGAAGGCGTTGCATTCTTTACTAAGGAGTTTCCTTATAATCTATGAATAATTGTGTTAGCTGACTGACAACACTGACACAGACTAAGATCATTTTACATAGTTTCTGACAACATGACAAAGCGAAGCATGACAGGCATCTTCCCATAGCAACAGCAGCTATACCAATGAATGAGGATTTTCATTTACCTTAAACAGGAGTGGCTAAAAAGCAACCTAAAGCAGGTGCAAATTGACATCTTGTCAGCCTTGAGGCCATGCACTATGGGTTTCTCCACCTCTCCAGTCCTGCCTAAAACATACTTCATACTGATAGCCGAACAATACTGTCATAGCAACCACTGTATACACAAATTTCACCATCAGTGCATGCAAAGACACCATGACATTTTATTGTGCAGAATGAATACAATACTGGGTACAAATAGTAAGATTCGGTGTTGGAAACAAATTATCCGTTGCTTAGAAGCTGCAACAATTGAATCCGTTTGAATCGAGGGATTATTTTAAAAAGTTTCACTATTGAATGAATGTCGGTAAAAGAGATTGTTCTTTGTGTTTGTTACTGGCTGTAATTTTAAATGACATTAAAGTGCTTCGGTTAATCTAAAGAAACCGTGGAATGTGCAACCTTTCACCAACAGCTAAATATAATAAAACTAATCAATGACGGAGCCTGAAGCAGATTTCCAGTTCCATGAGAATGGAATTGCTCAAATCACAGTTTATGAGCACTAACGTGTGTTAAAACAAAATTATAATGAAGATATCGTAATGCTAGATCACTTTGTGCCTAATGTATACAACACATTGGTAAAATGCCAATCTCTATCCTACAGATTGCATGTATTCTCCCACATTGTTTTCAATTTTTAATTTTTTAAATTCCATATTGCAGAATCTGACTTAAACTAGAGTTTTGACAACAACATTCCAGGCAGCTATGTAGCAAGAAACCAGTGAATTAAAAAAAATATACATCTTTCCTCATTGTAGAGATTTTTCTCTACACGTCTAAACCGGAGTGCACCAGAGTCCATATAATACGCAGAATCTGCTGATAGCCCGATTCAGAATTTGTTATCAATGGGAATGCCACAGTGACATGGCTGTGTGTGAGCTCTCCTTAACACTGTATTAGGAATTAGTTAACGTGAGCACACAGGTTGACAAACACATGCATATTCTCTCGTCCTCTCCATGCAAGGGAATAGTAGGCCAGGGATTGGCTAGGAATCTAGGATAGAATGGCTAGGTCGTGGGTAACATTGAGGTACCAGAGGGGTAACGTATTTCCTAGTAAAGCTTCCACAAGTGACTTATAATTATCAGTTTTGAACATTAACTGTTTTTAATGCACTATGTGTAAATGCCTGAAAAATGGGTGATATCCCTTTTAACCCCTTAAGGACCAAACATCTGGAATAAAAGGGAATCGTGACATGTCACGTGTCCTTAAGGGGTTAAATTTGTCAAATTTTCTTAGGCAAACATTAGAAGCTTTGATTCTTCTGCCTCCTTTCAGCAACATTTTTACACTGGATTTGAATTTCTATGTAGGAATGTGTTTTTTAGGTTTGTTCTTGTGCCTCAATAACAGGACTTTGAAGACCATAGAATTTGTGTCATTATCACTCAGGAAGGTAGAATAAAATTGCTTATTTATCTGGGGAACCCATATGACTGTCAAAGTTCCAGAAGGGATCTTCAGGCATAAAGGCCACGGAGGTTAGTCTATTCGAGGAATTCCGTGGCCATTATTTATTTAGACAAAAGTGTGTTTCTTCATTTAATAGGATGGTCAAAGCTATGTGCGGTTTTGTTTGGTTTTTGAATTTGTATCCTCAGGATTTTGGTTATTATTGGTTTGTCAAGAAAAATCAGGAAGTCCCCAAGGTTTAAGCTTTTGTAGGACAGTACAGTTCTATAGCACTTGTAAAAGGAATGCACATGGTGTACATTTATTAACTAAAATAAAGTTGTTTTTAAAAGTCTAAAAATCTATAAAGGAAACTAGTAGATGTTGGGGGAAAAAGTCACTCAAAGACTGTGCCTGATTTATGGTATCCATGGTAGAGCAGATTTACTGTTGCATTATTGATATTAAGTATATCTCTTAATAAAAAAAATCTTTGCGGGGATAAAATGTGTTTTAGAACAGGGTACAAAGAAGTCCATAGCATGTCAGCTAGCTGCCAGATTCCTGAAATTTTATAATAAAGAGCTTGTCATGCCCAAAGGTACAAATCAATCAATATTCATAATACAAAGACAGGATCAAGTGATAGATCACTCTAGATTAGGTGTGAGCGGATGTGAGAGCTATAGAAATTGTAGAACTGAAATCTCCACGATACTTTGCCATTCTAAAAACATCATGGCAGTTGCAGTTCTACATTTGTGGAAATACCATTTGATAGCCCTGAGAGACAGACAGATTTCTAGTGAAACAAGCCCTATTTTAGTAAACATTAAACAAAACACAAAAAAAACCCCAAGGCCTGTACCCTTTCTCTCCCACCCTGAAGTATATAGATTCACCACAATTTTATACAAACTAGATTTTCCATCTGTTGTAGAATCAAACCTGTCTACGAAGAAACCCACTGGCTAGAGGCGAGCCTGCTCTATGTAGTGATGTTCAAATACACTAATTATGGTTTTCTGATAACCATAACAAGAGGTCTGTTGATGGAATAGCATTATATCGCAATATTTAAATGTGTTCCTTTATTTTAATTATTGTTATTGGAAGAAGCAAGGGTTTATCTCTTTTCTCTTACGTCATACCAATATTTATAATTACTTTGATTCTTTTAGAGATCCTCTCCAAGCACCATAATAAGCAACATATCATGGTTCCAGGAGTGCCCTGGTGACCCCACAAATGTAAGTAGTCAAACCTTCTTTTCTGAATGATTTGAGTTGTTACCAGTTACCACTCCCTGACTCCAAACAACCGGAAACTTCAGGCTCTCCATTCTGGCTATGGGTAAGCAGTCATCGTCGTCAAATGGATCCCAGGTAAGAAGTTACATGAACTGTTTGTCTACTTACATGGGGGAAGGAGAGTAGTCCTGGTAGTGGTTATGGTGCTTAGAGTGTTTCTTTAACCAATGAGGCAGAGACATTGCTAGTGGGCAGGGCCGGCGCTTCCTATAAGGCGAACTAGGCAGCCGCCTAGGGCGCCATATAGGAGGGGGCGCCATGCGCCCCCTTCGCCGGCCCTTTAAATTCTGCAGCCGCCTGAGCGCTCAGGCGGCTGCCACAGTGCCTCACCTCCCCTGCCCTGTAGCGTGGCCGAGCTCCTTTCCGGTCCGCGACCCGGCCGGACTGCAGGAAGTGCACACTGTGTGTGCACTTCCTTGCAAAAACGTAACAATAGAGAGGTAATTAGAGACGGAATGAATTTGATAGAATGGTGATAGGATAGAAGCCATTTGATAGGATAGAAATAATTTGATAGAGATGAATTGATAGAGATAGAGAATAATTAGAAATGATTTGATGTAAGTACAGAGGTAATTAGAGATAATTGATAGGAGAGGGTAATTAGAGAGGTAACTGAGGCAGATGATTTGATAGGATGAGAATGAGATTAGGGGAAGAGATTTGATGTGAGAATGATTGATAGGATTGGGAATGATTAGAATGATTGGCAGGAGGGAGGAAGGCCAACTGAGGCAGATGATTTGATAGGAGAGATGATTTGATAGGAATGATTGATAGGATAGAGAATGATTGGGAGATGATTTGATGTAAGGGGGTGCAGAGATGATTGATGGGATAGGAGATGGTGAGATGATTTGATGGGAGGAATGATTTGATGGGGATGATTTGATAGGAGATGATTGATGGGATAGGGAGATGATTGATAGGGGAGGAGAGATGATTGATGGGAGGGATGATTGATGGGAGGGAGGGGGAGAAAGATTAGGGGAGAAAGAAGAAGATTACGGGAAGAAGAAGCTATTACAGGGAGGGAAGGGAGAAGATTACAGGGAGGGAGAAGATTACAGGGAGGAGAAGAAGGTACAGGGGGGAGAGAAGAGGAGAGAACACAGGGAGGGGGGAATAAGAGGAAAACACGGGGGGAGAAGAAGAGGAGAACATGAGGGGGTGGAGATGAGAACGTAGGGGAGGGAGAAACCACTAAAGGAGGGAGGGGCGGTGGAGAGACCACTAGGGGAGGGGTGTGAGGAGAGACCGCTAAGGGAGGGGGTGGAGGATAGACCACTAGGGGAGGGTGGGGGGAGAGGAAAGACCACTAATGTAAAGTCGGGGAGAAAAGAAGACCACTAAGGGAGGTGGGGCGGGGGGAGAAGAGATCTCTAAGGAATGGAAGTGAGAGCTCTATAGGACAGGGGGACAGGGAGCTCTTTCACACCACGCGCACACACACACAATGCATCCCTATACACACAGAAACACAACATGCTTCCCTTACACACAGAGAAACACGCAATGCAACCCTTACACATAAAGACAATGCATCCTTTGCACATACACACAGAAACACACAATGCATCCCTTACACACACATGCAAACACACACTGCTTCTCTTACACACACACACACAGAAACACAATGCATCTCTTACACACACTCAACGCACCCCTTACAGACACACACACTGCATCCCTTACATTCACAGAAACAATCCTTCTTTTGCCTAGGGTGGCAAAAATCCTTGCACCGGCCCTGCTAGTGGGTGCTGACCTGGTGGGATTTTTCAACCATTACATTTTCAACTCCAGGTTTATGTTGCAGTTGAGAGGCAGGCTGGCTGGTTGAAGAGCAGGGTTTTAATGCCCTTTGTGGACCAATTAGCCCCCCGGTTGTCACTAAAATTCTAGTAATCCGCAGACATGTGTCAGAATCCACTTGATTATCTGACATATGATGACCCTAGTGAAACACACTGTTTTATCACATAGCTCACATAATGATCAGACATTCCAGGAGTTTGACAAAGAGTCGGGCAGCGCCAAAGTGCCCATGGACACAATCCCTTTCTCTACCCTTCCCTCAGTTTTAGGAGTAGAGAGACAATCTCAGTATAAGGAATGCTTAATGTCTACAGAGGGAAAGAAGAACGGAGAGTAGTACAATACCTGTCATGGACGGGCTTCAGAACAAGCAGGGGGAGATAAGAATGCATGGCAAGCCTACATCCCCAATGGTCAACAACTACTAAGGTGCAGGTTGTGTTTAGGTGGGTACCAGTATTTAGATGTGGATATGCTTCATTTCTGTTTGAGTGCTTGTTTTTCTGAGTTTGTGTGCTTTTTTACAAACATGTATCTTTTTAAAAATATTTTATTTTTATTCTTTTATGTACATCTAACAAGAAATCATGAAATCAAGTGAACATGGCTAAATTCTGACCAGAAGGTAAAAAGGGAAGTTTTCATATATTCTAAAGCCAATTCCAGTCAGAACTTGGTCAAACTGACTGAATAGGCAACAATTGGCCGGATGCTTTCGGAGACTGTATAGGGTTCACATACTAAAAGAACCAATTTTAAACCAAAGTATAGAGAATATGTACGGAATATGCACAAAGCAACGATTTTAAACTAAAGAGGGAGTGAATGCATCCACTTGCATTTATATTCTTTCAGCTTTCTGTGTGGGTTAAATCTCTTCTTTAAAATAAGATATAGCATACCCCTCTAAAATAATCCAATAGGGCAATAGGAGTGTTTTGAGGTTTTCAAATCATTTCAAAGAGAGGAACCTTGTTTCTAAGGTTAAACAAGGGAAGCAAGAGAGGGAAAGGGCTTTAACAAAGCAAACATTTTTATTTCTTTATTTTTTATTTTTTGTTACAGCTGGTGATAGCCAATTTTGTAATATTTACTCTTTCATGGAAAGGCTCTCTTGTTCCTGTAGGTACAGGGGTGAGATATGGGCTGCACGAGTGGGTCTACCCCATGCACGGCCACAATGAGGAAGCACCAGTGCCTCTTGGCACTTCATTATATTCTGGGGATACAGAAATGTGGCCAACAGCAAAGTACAATGGTTGAGGACAGAATCTTCCACAGTGAAGGGGTTAATCAAATAATATACTTTTGCTGCTCTGTGTTGCCTTACTGTACTTGCAGTTAAAGCTCTAATCTTACTACATCCTATACAATGCACTCCGCAAGGCCACATCCCACTGAGACCCAGTAAAATAGAATGCATGGGATTTCATTACCCAACAGGACCTTAAGACAAATGAAGCTTTATCTGGAAGGAATTACAGCTTTGCCATACATAGATCCCCATTCTGGGGAGTAAGGGGTGCACCCAAATACTGTATACATCTACATTTAAACAGCGGTTAGTCGCTCTGCAGTTAACTTCCCTTTTTATTAGTGATCTCATTTATATTACACAATTTATCAATTCCCACCAAATCCTATTACAAGGACAAAAAAAAAAAAAAATATTATGTTACATAGAAACGGCAGATAGCCCATCTAGTCTGCACAATTTTCGTACTTTCATTAGTCCCTGGCCTTATCTTCAGTCTGGGATAGCCTTATGGCTATCTCACGCATGCTTAAACTCCCTCACTGTGTTAACTTCTACCACTTCAGCTGGGAGTGGAAGGCTATTCCATGCGTCCACTACCCTCTCAGCAAATGAATAATTCCTGAAATTATTTTTAAACCTTTCCCACTCTAATTTAAGACTATGTCCTCTTGTTGTGGTAGTTAGTCATATCAACACTAGGATTATGCTGGCTGTCGTTGATGTGTCTGGTAATGCTCTGTATTTTGCACCACCCACTCCTTTTCCCCCTTTCTGCAGTAGGGGGGCTATGATCTCTGGTGGTCCAGCAGGTGTCTTGGATCCCCGATAGTCCAGGCTGTTGTAAACCCCAGAAGACGCTCCTTCCAGTCCCAGGACTCACTTGGATACAATGCTGCCGTCTGACAGCAAAGAAGTGCTTATGGAGGTCTGCACTCACCAAAGATCACAAAAGGGTCACCACTTACTTGCAGGTCAAAATAAAAATAAAAATACCTTCCCAACCTACCATTTTAGAAACAACCCAATTCAAGCTACTACTAATTTTTCAATGTTTTTCTATTCTTTTTACTTCCCAAAGTTCTACAGAGCTAAAATGTTATTTACCACATTCTTATCTCAGCTGAAAATTGAAAGAGGATGGGCGGCCCCCCATTCAAGAAGTAACAAAACTTTTAACGAAAGCCAATTTATTCCATGCATGACAGAGGGGTCAACACTGCTATTTACATTGATTGGGACTCTACTGATTCACGTAACATGATTTATAAAGCTTCAATGAGAAAATCTTTAACCAACAAGCTTTACGTTCCCCACCTTTTCCAATAAAGCGTAGATTTTTTTGAATGTTTTCTACTTTGTATAATGTACAGTTTTCACGTGCATATTGGTTCAATTTCATCTCAAAGTTGGGACTACTACGCTTCTTCCTCTAATTGGCAATAAAAATTCTTCTGAATTTAAAAAACAAACAAAATAAAACAGCAAAGTATTCCTTACAGAGGTAAACATTGTACATGGTTTTTTATTAACCCAAAAAGTACAACAATAGTGTGCGGGTACCTGACGACTCCCCAATTTGGAGGAACAGCTGCTGGTACTCCGAGATGGCGAGAGCATCCTATGGGACACACCCAGATTCCTCTCTTCACCCATTATGAAGACTCAATGTCTGTCTCCAGGAAAAAGAGACAGAGTTGCACAGTATTCCTTAATTAGTTGGTGGGAAATACCAGAGAAGCACAATTTTGCAGTCATTATCTTTGCTGTGTACACATTGCCTCAGCACCTACAACGATATCAAAAACAAAGTTTGCAGGTTAATATCTAATATAATACATTCATTATTACACACAGTTCTTGTCATTAGCCAGAACAGCGGAAACCTAACAGGATTATTAACTAAAGTATGAATTCAATGTGAATTTCAAATGTTATGCCAAAATAGCCAATAGCCAAAATGGATGCTCATTCGCTTAATGGGGAAACTGTCAGGAATGTCGACTTGTAGACTAAATAGCTGAGCTGAGAATATTAACGAGTTGGTGAATTTTTCCAATTTGGCGATTTTGAGCTTAAATTTTAAAATTTATTTTGAATTCTTGAAAATTCACACTTTTATCAAAAATCAAACATAATTTTTTCAAAACCCATAAAAGAATAACCGAGATAACTATAAAACATTTTTTTGATAGGGGAGACTTAAATAGTACAACAAAAATAACTTTGTCTAGAGTTACTTATGAGTAATGCATATAAAGGGTTTCACATAATAGGTTCCCCTTCCCACCCCCCAACATGTTTTATAAAGTGTTTAGACAAAAATGCAGCAGGATATTAATCACACATAAGAAAACAATGTATTGACACAAATAAATAGTATATAAATATAAAATACTATCAGACAATATAAACAATAGCAAAAAAGTCTAAAAGGCTTGTACTTCCAGTTCACTTCCCCTTTCCAAAAATTAAAAATTCCATAAAATCTTATTTATTTAAATAACATTCAACAAAATAAATTTGGGGCAATAAGATTTCGGGAATTCAAACATTAATTTTACACTTTAAAACACAAAACAAAAGATTTTTGAACAATTGTTGTTACCCTCTGTATTCTCAAGTATGGGGAATGGTAAGTTCCTACACATTTAAACTGAAATTGAATTGGTTAAACACTCCTTTTCCCAGGAAAACCAACTGAACTTTGGGCTTATTTTGCATTTTAGGGTTTGCTTATGGGTCCCTCATATTTAGCACAACTTCAAACAAATGGAAGAAATCTAAGAATAAAAACCCTATCTGCTTCATGCAATCCAGACTTTCAGCCAGATATTAATGCAGGTGAATTATGTAGAATTTTAAAGCATGAAAGAAAAAGAAAAAAACTTAAAACATCATTCTAGTTGTCCCGAAAGGACAAGAATTGTTACAGGAAAGTGGAAATGCCCTTCCTCTACATTTAAAGGGACACTATAGTCACCAGAACAACTTTAGTTTAATGTTGTTGTTCTGGTGAGTATAATAGCTCCCTTCAGGCATTTTCATGTAAACACTGCCTTTTCAGAGAAAAGTCGGTGTTTACATTGCCACCTCTTAGATGGCCACTGGAGGGGTTTCCTGGCTCAGTGCTGCACAGTAGGCAGCTCTGCCGTTCAGAATCCCCACGCTCTGCATGGAGACGCTGAATTCAACACATCTCTATGAGGAGGCCCTGATTGGCCAAAACGGGATTTGACCTCGCCCCATGCAGATTTTAGCCAATCCAATGCCAACCCCCTTTGTAACAATCCAGATTTTAGCCAACCCCCTTTGTAACATCATGGCAGATTTTTACCCAATCCAATGCTTTTCCATAGGGAAAGCATTGGATTGGCTAAAAATCTGCCATGATGTTACAAAGGGGGTGGAGCCAGTGTCAGCTGGACCTGCGCGGCGCTGGAAATAAGGCGAGATGTAAACATTTATAGGGGGGCAATGGTGGGTTAAACACTATAGGGTCAGGAATACATGTTTGTGTTCCTGACCCTATAGTGATACTTTAATAAAAGTGTTGATAACATGCATTTTAATATGATTAGCAAATATATTTAACAAATATATATAATATATTTAAAAGGACACTATACTCACTCAGACCACTTCAGCTCAATGAAGTGGTCTGGGTGCCAGGTCCCATAGGTTTTAACCCTTCAGATGTAAACATAGCAGTTTCAGAGAAAACCCTTCAGCGCCAAGGGAGGGGGACCCTGAGGGTGGGGGCACTCTTAGGGCACGATAGTGTCAGGAAGGGTTGTTTTCCTGACACTATAGTGATCCTTTAAGATGCTTTAACTGTACAACTGTACTCTATGTAAACCCATTTTCCCCCTGCAACTCTACACAACTATTGCAAAACTTAGCTTACAACCAGTGGCGTACATACCAGGGTCGCAGGGGTCGCGGCTGCGACCGGGCCCGGCCCACCAGGGGGCCCGGCCGCCCCTGCGACCCGGTATGTACCCACAGGGCCAGCCTCTTCCCCTGGGGGCCCCAGGAGCCGACCACCCCAGGGCCCCCCTGAGGCTGGCCCTGCTGATACCCGGTGGCCGGTCGGGCAGGCAGGCGGGCGCGCGAGGGAGCACTCAGTGCAGGCGGCGCGCGAGGGAGCTGAAGAGGAAGCACTGAGTGCTCCCTCGCGCGCCCGTCTGCCTGCCCGACCGGCCACCCGCCCAGCAGCACCACTGGACCCCAGGGAATCTCCCCAGCACTCCAAAGGGTAAGGAGGCTGGGGGGATTACATTTAAAAAAAAACAACAAAAAAATCATGTGTTAGTGTGAGTGTGTGTGAGTTTTAGAGTGAGTGAGTTTTAGAGTGAGTGAGTGTTAGAGTGAGTGAGTGTTAGAGTGAGTGAGTGTTAGAGTGAGTGTTAGTGTGTGAGTTTTAGAGTGAGTGAGTTTTAGAGTGAGTGAGTGTTAGAGTGAGTGAGTGTTAGAGTGAGTGAGTGTTAGTGTGTGTGAGTGTTAGTGTGTGTGAGTGTTAGTGTGTGTGAGTGTTAGTGTGTGTGAGTGTTAGTGTGTGTCAGTGTGTGTGTTACTGTGTGTGTCTTACTGAGTGTGTGTGTGTTAGTGAGTCTGTTTGATGTCTGTTAGTGAGTGTGTGTTTGTCAATGAGAGTGTATGTTTTGTAAGGATCCCTCAGCCTCTCAGCTCCGAATGCGACCGCGCACGCATTCAAACCGCCCATAGGAAAGCATTACTCAATGCTTTCCTATGGACGTTCAGTGTGCTCCTCTAGCGGATGTCAGTGAGACAGCCACTAGAGGCTGGATTAACCCTCAGTGAAACATAGCAGTTTTTTCAACTGCAGGGTTAAAACTAGAGGGACCTGACACCCAGACAACTTCATTGAGCTGATGTGATCTGGGTGTCTGTAATGGTCCTTTAAACATATAGTGCCAGGTAAAACTTACCTTTTTCCAGCGCTGGGCGGAGAGCTCTCCTCCTCCAATCCTCCTCTTCTCCTCCCCGTCGGCTGTATGCGCACGCGCGGCAAGAGCTGCGCGCGCATTCAGCCTGGTCACATAGGAAAGCATTCATAATGCTTTCCTATGGACGCTGGCGTGCTCTCACTGTGAAAATCACAGTGAGAAGCACGCGGCTGTCAATGGGACAGCCACTAGAGGAAATAGGGGAAGGCTTAACCCATTCATAAACACAGCAGTTTCTCTGAAACTGCTATGTTTATGAAAAAATGGGTTAACCCTAGCTGGACCTGGCACCCAGACCACTTCATTAAGCTGAAGTGGTTGGGTCTAAGTGTTCCTTTAATGTGCATGTGCATGCACACTGGGTACCCTAGCCCGTAACCCTGACAAGGGTGCCCACCGCCATGCTGCGGCCGCTGAACGCCGGATCAATTTTCGCACCAGGGCCCCATGGGTCATGTGTACGCCACTGCTTACAACACAAGGCGTATTTGATAGAGAATACAGAGACAGTAAGATTCAGATCCCCATTTAGAAGAAGAAGAAATATATATATATTAATGTGAATTATAACAATTATTTTAGGATTTTTGATACTAAGGGTTTAAATACATCTGTGAACAATTTTAGAGATTAAAATACTGAAAATAAATAAAATGATACAAATGAATAAATCGGCCTGAATGTATCAGTCATTTTTAGGCATAAACATCTGACTCAGGACTGTACTTTCTTCCCAAGCCAAGACTTTCTGTAGCTGTCCAATCTCAGACTTCCCAATGCCGCTCAATGAGAGGTCAAGGCAGGAAGTAACAGGGCCTGTCTGATTGGCAGCCAGGGGGTGTAAAAAATTTATATTATAAAACTGCTACTTTGTATTGGAATCTGTACTTTTTGTAAAATGGAAAAAATAAAAATAATAAATAACTGCTTTTTTTCCTCCAGCTGGCTGCAAAATAGGTCTGTCGGTGTATACCTACCCAAATGCTAAACATATTGCTCAATTGTAAATTAACCTTTTCAATGTGGTCAGTTAAAGGACCACTATAGGCACCCAGACCACTTCAGCTTAATGAAGTGGTCTGTGTGCCAGGTCCAGCTAGGGTTAACCCTTTTTTCTATAAACATAGCAGTTTCAGAGAAACTGCTATGTTTATGTTAGGGTTAATCCAGCCTCTAGTGGCTGTCTCTTAAAAGCCGCTAGAGGCGCTTGCGTGCTTGTCACTGTGATTTTCACAGTGAGAAGACGCCAGCGTCCACAGGAAAGCATTGTAAATGCTTTCCTATGAGACTGTCTGAATGCGCGTGCGGCTCTTGCCACGCATGCACATTCAGCCGAAGAGGAGAAGGAGAGCTCCCCGCCTGGCGCTGGAGAAAGAGGTAAGTTTAACCCCTTCCTCTCCATCCAGCCCGGGTGGGGGCACCCTCAGGGCACTATAGTACCAGGAAAACGAGCATGTTTTCCTGGCACTATAGTGGTCCTTTAATGCGTGAGCCATTCGCTCAATGTTAATCAAAATACTACATACAGTTGTAATCAAAATGATTCAGCCCCCCCCATTGAAATGTTTGTGTATTGTCAAAATTTAGAGACTGTCAGCTGTTTGCAATGAGCAAATTAAACAAATCAATTGAAATAGCTCAACACACACCGACAGTACAAGTGGTTAGCCCAAATTCAGCTGAAAATACAACTTCATTGCAAACACCTGAAAGTGTGTAAATTTTGACAATGAACTTGATTTATAATGGGGGTTGAATCATTTTGATTACAACTATATAAATATATAGGGAATAAACAGAAAAAGAAACAAATGCCATTCTACCTGTGTATGATTTACTGAGAAGACTGTAGATTAAAAAGTAACTTTTAATAAATAAATCTAAAATAAGAATATAAAAAAGAGAAAAATAATATGAACAGCAGGAGTAAATGGAGACTATACAGCGAGTAAAACTCTGTGACTACTTATATAAGCTGTAAAAGTGTATACATAATAACACTAATGCTGAAGCAATACTGTTTAGCTACAATATAACATCAGTGTATTCCCAAGTAATAGAAGTGATACTGTATTATATATCACTAATAGCTGTAGCAAAAAGGGGGGGGGAGATAAGACAACTGCTAAACCAGTGCTGTCAATAGTTCAGCTAAGACAGATTTCTGACAGACGGCGATTAGCCAGTTAAATATCACAAAAGCTGCCTAGATCATAGCAGCATTTTGATAATAAATTAAAGCTTGCTGTCAAGCAGTAAATACACTGATGTTATATTGTAGCTAAACAGTATTGCTTCAGCATTAGTGTTATTATGTATACACTTTTACAGCTTATATAAGTAGTCACAGAGTTTTACTCGCTGTATAGTCTCCATTTACTCCTGCTGTTCATATTATTTTTCTCTTTTTTATATTCTTATTTTAGATTTATTTATTAAAAGTTACTTTTTAATCTACATTCTTCTCAGTAAATCATACACAGGTAGAATGGCATTTGTTTCTTTTTCTGTTTATTCCCTATGATATTCACCATTTAGGGGTTACCCCCCTTTTTTGTGCCCTCTACCTTGTGATATCTAAATTTTGGCCCTAGGTTAATTCTTTTTGTTTTCCTCGTATATAAATATATATTTACATTTTGTACTATTGATGTACCTTCATGCTTAAGCACTGCCACTGAGGTCACAAACAACATTCTCTGTAACCGCCGAGGCCACCTTGGCTAGCACTGACATGTGAATGAAGAGGAAGAAAGAACTGTGACAGCAGGGTCAACTCTGGTGGAATTTGGGGACAGTTGGTACTTTGCCAATAAGTCCCAAATGTATCCCCCCCCGCCATTCTTTTAACTTTTAGAATCTCAATATATTCATTAGTTTAACACGTTCTACTTAGCTGCACATTTCTCCACGCCAAGTTTATCGCATCATACATTATAGAAAATGGCTAAACTATTGACCTTTTGTTCCTTAGATGTGATAGTACAAGTTATATGTACATAGACTCTATTACTTGTATGGAATCTAAAGAAAGTCCTGTTGCAACTTTTGTGCCTAATGAACTGTGTAATAACAGCCTGCGGTGAGTAATCTTCAGCAGAACATGAGCCAAAGTTACCATGTGTATACATGCTCAACAAATTTTTCATGACAAGAGTTTGACTTCCAGGTTCCTTGGCAGCACCAGAGGTTTATTGTTCTAAGAAAAAATGCTAAACGGGATTACATAACAACACAGACCCGCTATACCAGGTATAGACTCTAGATTAGTAACCAACACATACAATTCCATGGCCTATTGTTTAAACTGCGTTGTAAAACCAAGACCACAGCGCGCTTCCAATTCCTAGTATGGACAACACTGGCACCATGTTAATGTTTAGGTTTCACATTCTGGTAGGATATTGCCCAAATCAGGAAGGCCTGAG